ACATATATGACACGCATCTTGAACGTGTTCTTTGCATCATGTTTTTTCTGTATCCAGCAGCTTCCTGCTTGCAAGTATTGTTCGCTGCCAATATGTTCCGGGGTCAGGATCTGTGGGTTACAAATGCACAGTCTGTGGCTTTGGAGATAATGTCCTGATTTCTATCTGAACTCAATCTTGGTATATCCATGAGAAGAACCCGTCAAGCAAAATGAACTGAATGATGTTGAGACCACCCTCAAGTAGTCATGGAATGTCTGGTTCAGCTGAGAGTTCCGAAGTCGAAGCCGAAATCTGGCTGAATCTGTCTGAATTGTGTGCATCGGTCGCACACCATGTTTCTAAGCTTTGTTTACAGTAACAAGTAATGAAACTCAGGAAGCTCTGCAAAAATGTGGGTCAACGAATGAGTGGACAAGTGGCTTCTTCCTTGAGTTATTACGGTGATTAGCTGTCTCAGCCATCTCACCTAAGTTATTCATGGTGCTCAACTGACGAGCTTACTCACAAGCATGGACACCTGTGCGAGTGCATGCTTTGCCTTGGCACCTCCATTCCAACTTGCCACTCTTAATCGAACAGGGAGAAATGAACAATGACAGATATGACAGTCTCAAACCAAGTTTTTGTTTGCTCTGGCCGTGTGGGAGGCCAGTGGGTCAACCTTTTGGAGGTCAACAGAGTCAACAGCACCCTTCACCCTTAGCAGTTGTTGATACCATCCTCTTTTACCAAAAAACAGGTTTGTCGTCTCAACTTGTCGTCCAAAGCTGTGGGACTTGCCTTCTCCAACAGGCTAATTTCCAGCAGGAAATTGCAAAAGGACAACTTCCTTCACCCATGCCTTTCAGCAATTTGTTCTAAGATTTCCATTGCAACGAAAGAGCTACCCCGCAAAAACGCTAGGGAAGATCTGTTTCGTGTCATGATTTCTGTACGCGGCTTTTCCCTGTCCCTTCTGACAAACCCATATTTTGCACCAAAGTTCCAGAGAAATCGCCGATTCTCAGATGGAAAAGTGCTATGTCCTTGTAGATCTTGTGGCCTCATTGCCTGGACTTTCCGTTGGGTGCAAGACTTCCAGAACGGCGAAAATAACCGACAAAAATGGTCTTACACACCCAACTATCAATTGAAATCGATTGAAATGAAGTGTTTGTTTTGGACTTAGCAGCTCCAGCACGCAGCACGCGCAACGCTGAGTGCTAGCACGCAGGTTCGTCACGCAGTGGGTTTTTAGCATTGTGGCATGTAAATGCATTTGACTAGATCCGAGAAAAACATCCATACAAATTTTAGACCTTAAAGGGCTAGTAAATCGCAAGTTCGAAACGCATTGGGTTTTATTATCCTACTCATACCTCGGTGCATTTACTTTTCTGTGAAAAAAGCATCCGGTAACGTACGAATATCTGCCTGACGTCCGGATGAATTTTGCGCTTCCCATAAAAGGCATCTGGGGTTTCCCCGTTTCCTCCAAAAGGGTACCGGGTAAATTCTTTCAGGGTGTTGAAAAAAACAACGCCACTTGGAGGTACTTGTGTGGCTCTCATGAATGTGATGAGTATCTCATGATATCTCATGCTTATCGTCACTCCAATGCATTTTTCCTATTCCAATAAAAAGCATCCACTATCTAAATCAAGATAAACATATCTACTAGGATGCACACCGGGAAAAATGCATTGGAGTGAGTGCTGAGCACGCGAGTGCTGGCACGCGAGTGCTGAGTGCCAGCACGCGAGTGACGAAACAGCTAAGGTTTTGGAGCTACAAACGATCGCACCACAAAATGCCAAAGCTTCAGATCCCCCTGGATCTTTGAGAATCAGCTGCAGATTCTGGACCTGCTGTAAGAGCACCCTGATGCACTTCGCTGGTCACTTTCAAGACCGGAAAAAAGGTACAATGTTCGGACTCGGAATGACGAGCAGCACATGTATTGACCAAATACAACTTGCCGGGCTCAGCTTTCCTGACTTTCAAGAAAATGACTAATATATGACTATCAGAGCCTATCAATACAATTCAAAGTAACAGACACCTGTCGATCTGTTGGCTCACAGCTCTGTCTGCACCATGCCCCTGGAATCCCTACCCCTAGAGAGGGGGAGGGCAGGGGGGGACAAAACCAACCTGTCGAATTCCACTTTTTTTTGCTTGGAAACCCTGGGATAGTGATCCAACCCCTCAAATGGACTTGTAAAGTAACATTTCTTAACAAGCCTTGGGCACTGGTTAGAAAATACTCGCGCTTCGCTCCGGAGGAGCTAAGCGCAAGTATGATGACGGCAGCGTAATTTTTGGAGGGATGCCATCCCTACACATGTGCTGCTTCAGTCTGACATGTGCTTAGCTCCTCCGGAGCTAAGCGCAAGTATTTAATTTTCATCTGCTTGCCAATGACATGGAATGATGAGGAATATTGATCATTGAGAAAACATGACTGCAAAAATGGAATAATTTTAAAATGAAATTTCAGTACGACTCCCCCCTCAAATTCCATTTTTAAGAGGGTAGGGATCCCCTGGATATGCAGACTTCTGCTCTGTCAGAAGCTGTGGGATCTCACCATGGCTGGAGATTGAAATGAATCCGTGCGTGGTTCCTGGTGCCGCAAGATAGCAGGCAAAAAGTGACAGAACAGCACGTGATGCCGTAATGCCATGTAATGCCCACACTGCTTTGAGTAGCGCTGCAAAAAAACGCTAATCACAGTCACAGAGCACCAGCAGTTTTGGGCCCAGCCAGGCAAAAAACTGTGTCTTACAGCAGTCAAGCTGCAAGTGCTCCACTGGTGATGGGTGAAGGGTGAAGCACTGCCTCCATCATGATGCAATTTTGGGGAGAAAAAGGCTAACTGTTTTGGCATCTGGCAGCGTAGGGAATCATCAAGGGGAGCTGGGAATTTTAAGAAAGGTTGGTTGTACTCTTTGTCCATCGGAAATCTTGCACATGTTCGATGGGCAAAGGTAATCCCATGGTATCCCCTCGAGGCTGCAATTCAAATCACAGCTCTCTGTGGGGATCTGCCTGCGACATGTCGCAACTCAGCCTAGTTTGATCAGTTTGCCCTGCAGCAGGGTGGCGATCAAAGATGCAACCTGCAATGACGAGTGAAAAAATCGGAATGACAGAATTGGTTGAAGGAAATTTTGCAGGAACACCCTGGAACACCCATATTTGAGGGAAAAAAAACATGAAAAACGATGGTTTCCTGTGGATTTTCGTAAAACTAAGCCATTGGTGAACATCAAAAAAACGAGATCCATATCAAGTATGGATCTGGCAAAAAAACACGTGTACTACTTGCTGAACGCTCTTCAAAAACTGACTTACGCACGAACTTGGGACAATCTGTTTGTAAAGGCTACACCTAGGAATCATTTGACTCGACTTGTTGTATGGTCCCCAACCCGCACCATGCACCACCTCTAGTGGCCAAAACAGGTCAGGTGTGGTTTCACCGTTCATCTTTCACCTCAGTCTCTCCAATGATCCAAGTGATCCAAGGACTGGAATGGAGAACCTGCCTGTTTCCCTGTTAGATTTGGACCATTTTGGACCCATGTCTCACATCGAACCGCATGGCCCGAAGAAGCCACTTTTGAAATCTTTTAAGCATTGCCAAGCATTGCGACCCAGTTTTGTTTCATGACAGCATATTGTTAAGCTGAGGCACAAGCTGCTGCTTAAAAGCGCAAGACACCAGAGTTGCTCCTTTCAGTGGGGAACGATGCAGAACGAGCTTGGACACAGCGCTTTCTGTTTGCTGCAAGTTTCAGCCTCAAAGCCCTGGAGCATCCTGGAGCCATAGAACAGGTCCCAAATCTAATGTCCTTCATGCCCGAAACATCCCGAAACGGCTTCACGACACAGCTTTGGCCTCCACAATGAACAGTCGTCCAGGGGCATCCAAGCAAGGCTCTGACTCAAGTGATGGCTTGGCCAAGGTTTTTGTATGGAGGATTTGGTAGATCTTCGGCAGTTGATGGGGACAAGATCCCAATAGCTGGGGCTTTCATGGGCTTTCATGGGACATCTTACCGTGGAATGAAGGTCAAAATAGGTCAAAACGCACAGTTCCAAAGCATCAAATAGACATGCTGACAATTGCTAACATACTGCTTCTAATCATGTGCAGCTCCAAAGGAACCGGCTGGAGCCGAGCCTTGGCCAATTTTTTATTCGGCTCATGGAAGAACTACAAACGCAGCAGTCACGTGATGATCATGGTGGAAACGCCAAACCCATTTAGAATTACCACAGCCTGTTGATTTCAAACAAGAACTGATTCCAAAACTTGTCTGGTCTCAGACCTGTAAAACTCTTCACCGGCGCTCGGTACGTTCATCATCTTTGATCTATCTAATCTATGAGAGATGTCTCACAGCCTGAGGAAATTGTCATGGGAATGTCACAGCAGAACAGGTCAAACTTTTCGGCGAGGCGAAGTTTGCTCCCCTGAGGGAGGGGAAAATCGAGAAACTTTGGTACCGAGGCACCAAAAGGTGCCCTTAAGGCAACTGCAGTTGGGCTTCTCAAGCAAAATTCATCATCGGTTCATCGCTTCATCCGGGTGGCTTTTTTTTGTCCGAAGTCCAACGGCTGATCTCCAGATATCTCCAGGATCGCTGTGAAAAAAAGCCGTCAGATCCAGCCAAGGCCTGAAACTCGCTGCGCAAGGCCTGGATGTGTTTGCCAACTTCAGCCCTGGGGGTGCTGGGGGATCCTGGAACCCCTCGGGCAATTGGGGCCGGAGTTTTGAGATGTTTATGTTTGTTTATGATTGGTTATAAGTTATGATGCTTTGAGATGTTTTGGATGTTGAAATGACTTGACATTAATTACTTGAAATGGCCAGCATCTCAACCTTGAGGCCTTGGCCTGGACACGGCTTGTCGGCGTCATTTTGCCATGGACTTTTGGACCAGCACAACTTCGTTTGTCAACCGATATCTCGACTCCCTCATGACAATCTTAGCATATCTTAGCCGACTTATCCACATTGTGCTGGAACGTAAAAATCCAAGAGTTCAAAGTGAGATTTTCTCGTTGGCCAGTCGAAACAAGAGAAATGTGTGCCAAATCTGGGTGCCTCGAGGCACATGGCAGAGTTTGACCAGGGCCTTTTCCTTTCAACCATGCTGCACTGCAGTGCTCATGAAGCCTTGCTCTATCCTGCTGTATTTCTGTATACTTCTGTTATTCATGAGATTTCATGAGAAATGTCCGTTGCAGTGAGATTTATCCGGTCAATCCATTTGCCGATCGTGTGCTTTTCGTTTAAAACAGAAGAATTTGCAAACATTCATCAATATAGATGATAAAAGTAAATAAACATGACGTAGAATTATTTTCTGTCAGATTCTGTCACTATTGAGGATCTAGGGCTCACAGCCTCTTAGGCAGGCTTCTGCCTGGAGCGGCAAATGGGAGCAAGTTGAAGAGTCTTCACGAAACAGATACTGTATCCATAGGACTTTAATGACATTATATGACTTAAATCATTTATCCATATCTTGAATGCATATCTAGATTATGTTTTTAGTTGACGTGCAAGACTGAAGTATCCATCATTTAAGCTGCCACAAGGTAAATCAAAAGGCTCTGATGTCCATCTCGGTGATAACATGTGCTGCCAAGGGTCCATGGGAGCTGGTAGCTGTTGGTTGCTTTCGCCTCGTGTTGGCAAACATCAGAGGACGCGAAAACGGTATGATGACAGTGACATCAAGACCATTCAAGACCGTTCATGACCATTATTCTGGGGATGAGATGGGATGATTCAATACTTCTGAGACCATTTTGGATCATCTAGTGGCCCAGTTGCCAGCTCTTTTGGTGTTCACTAGGCAGGGGAACCCAAACTACTGCCTGAAGCTCCTCTGCAGCCCGCTGAGCTGCTGCAGCCTCCCTGGCTGCCTTTGCCTGCTGCGGAAACGCCAAAACAACGGTGACATCTGGAACTGTTCATAACTTAATTATGCATCTTATGCACAACCGTTCACAATTGGCCTAACCTGGTTCTGACCTCAACCTCTCAGTTTCCAAAAAAGTTGGGAAATTTGGGAAGCTTCATCTTTGACAGAAAGAAATTGAAAGAAACCTGCCAAATCGCTGGCAACGCGGCGCTATCCCGCGCGGTCCTGAGCTTCCAAGGCGAGCCGAACTCGCTCCTGTGCTGAGGCGGCCTCTGCAAAAAGACCAGCCGCCTCGGCATTTCGGCAGCGCGATATGTGCATTTTTTGGTTTTGCCGATGAAAATGAAAACATCCCAGCAATCTGTAGATATCTGTAGATCCCCATGAGATACATAAAAAAATACCCGCTATAGGCTATATATATATGTGTGTTTAAACTAGAGAGTTTGTTTTTTCACCCCACTTGATAAAGTCAAAGTGCCTAAAGGTCCCGAGTTTTCATATGACTCGCAACAGAAACAGCCCAATCCCTCTGACGATCCACTTAGCACCACGCCTTCTCGGCCGTGGCAGAACGCGCCTCCTCCACTGCCTTCAGTTCGGCAATTTTCGCTTCCTGTTGGGCGAAAAAGGTAGGTGACACGGTGACACCAAGTGGTGCAGAGGAAAAATGGTGGCCCAAAAAATTATCACCTGGGCAAAGTCACCATCCATGTGCATTTCAAGATCTTTCTTAATGTGATATCAAAAGGTTTTAAAAAAACCTCTGTTGGCGGATGTGTTACTTTTGTCGATCCATATCTCATCCTGGAAATAGATCACTTCAATCAATCCATGGTTTTGTATGGTTTTCTGATGTGTTGCAAATGGTGTTTCAAAGTGTTTCTGCAATGTGACCCTTTCAGAAAATGTCACATTCCCCAGCCTCCACCAGGCGTTTGGCCTGTGCAGCTTCTTCCTGGGCTTTGGCCTGTGCTCGCTTAGCCTCACGCAAGGACTTGGCAGCAGATTGCACAACTTCAAGTTTATTGAACTCAGTCCTTATAAATGGGTACACATATGTACACATATGTACACATCCAAATTACAAAATCATTGAGTCTATAGAGTCTATAGAGTCTATAGTATAGTATTATAATTATAGGTCCTGCTTAAGCAGGTCCCTTCGATTTTTATCCGTCCGGTTGACGCGGTTGACGGTTGGATGCACCTCCTGGATCTCTGCTTCCAAAGTTTGTGTCCGAGACGCAGCAATCCGCGCTGACTCTTGGGCCTGGAGACTCGGAGATATCTGGCAGAAAATTGAAGAAAAAAAACTACAAGACTTCGGAGGAAAGTGTCATGATATTATTGGAATTTTCCAGGAATATATACTGAAACAATCTGAAACAGCTTATCAATGTTGTTAATTCTATTAATTAATCGAAAACACAAATCTTTTGCACTCTTCGGGTGTGACCATTGGTTTCAAATTTCAGCTATTTGATGACAATAAGATGTCCAGTGATATTGACCATCATTGATCCAGACGATCGAAGAAAGTGCGTTGAATGCACCACATGGATGACATGGAACTGCGACGAACTTCGCCCGGAGGATCCCGGAGGCACTGCAGTGCCTGCGCTTCATAAGTTTGTGCCTGCACAGCAGCTGCGCGAGTCTTCTCCTCACAAAAATCTCAAGGAAAATGGCAAGAACTGAAGCTCGGGACCTTTAAAGTGCCCAGCTAAAGTGTCAAGAAGGCCTACAAAATGAATCTTACCTTTATCAAAATGTTATTATGTTGATTCATGTTGTCCTCTTTTTCATGATGTGTCCATCTCCAAGCGCAACATGACGTTCGTGCAGTTCGGACCCCGCCTGTGAGGCTTGCAGATTGGCAGCCAGTTTGCTGGTCTCGCCTTCCTTCATTTTGAGGTTGGCCTTCAAAAATCGCTCTACGGAGCTTCCACGGAGCTTCCATGGTGGTCACTGACCCGTGATGACCCGTGATGACCCGTGGCGATACCCCGCCTCCAACTGTTGAAGTTCACTTGCCAGCTTCTCGTTCTGTGCATGCGACTCCTGCAGATCACAAATGAAACAGCAAGATACAGCAAGAACTTCAACAATGAGACTGTTGCTCTCATTTGTTTGCAATTGTCACATTCACCAAAAACAATAGACTATCATCAAAGTGGGCTTGTTCATCACATTGCTTGCAGCCGGCCTTTGGTCTGGATTGTCTGGATACATATCTCAAAGAACCCCGGCTCCAGAAAAAAGTTCTATGCATTTCTATGCATTTCTATGCACATGTCACTGCGGTCCGTCAGCTTCGCGGAGAAAAGCTGCTCATTCTGAGCAACAGTCTCCAAAAGGTTGACTCGTCGCATCAGCTTCCTTGGAGAAAATGGATGACAGGATGACACTGATCAAGAAACATAAAAGAAACGTTGTGCTTACCTGTGAACGAAACTGACCAAGACTGAAAACCCATGAAAACCCAGGGACCTTTGGCAAAAAACTGCCCTTCCAAGCTGAGTAAATCTGTCAAGTTCACTGGGGTGTTGGAGAAAGAACTACTGGACTGGTGGCAAGCCTAGTGATGACAGTACTCTAAAAACAGCCGCAATGCAAAATCATCAACAATCAAACAGTAGTTTACTAGCTGCTTCAAAACCAAATTAGTCAGAGCAGCATAGTCTTTCGAAGGCTCATTGTATGGGATGATGAGAAACTCACATGTTTCTCTGCCAAGATGTTCTAACGGCAAGCTTCTGGTTCTCCTCCTCCATCTTTGGCAGACGATCTTCCAAGCCTTGGTTTTTTTCCTGAGCCTGGCAGCAATCGGAGTCGCAGAAGAAATTCTTCTACATGAGATCTGCAGCAGTTCAGAGATGTTCGTTGCGATCTTCGGAGGCCTTGGCAAGCTGGACCGCCAGATTTCGTTCGCGCTGCAGTGCATCAGAGATATCTGCCTCACGAATGGCAAAGCATGGAGCTATATGGAGCCACTGAGCCGGAGCTGTTCCTCAGGCGCCTCCAAGACCTTCTGTTCGCTTTGGAGACGTTTGACTTCCACCGAAGCTGCCTGTGATGCCCAGAGGTTCAGAGGATCCATTAATTACTTCAAGTACAGTCAAAGCCATCGAAAAGTGAAGGGAAAGTTGACAAACAGCATTGAACAATTGAACAAGTACTCAATCAACATTGCAAAGTAGAACAATACGATCTAAAGTTTTAAAGGCTGAGACATGCTGAGACATATCCAGCACTGCTGTTTTCTTCCAGCTGCGGTAAGCACTGCTCCGCTCCTGCATTTCCTGGGTGAGCTGCACTTCCTTGGCGCGTGCTCCTTGCAGAGCCTGATCCAGCTGCGCCACCTGGCCGAGCGCTACCGCTGGTTGGTCACTGGGGATCAGCATCCCAAAGATGAGCGCAAATCTATTGAAATATATATATATATATAATTGTATACATATATAGATGTGTGGAAAAATGATGAATAACTGTGAATTATGATATATTATGACGTATTTAATGACTATTAATTGAAACTATAGGTCACCAACTGATGGGGATTCCTGTAGGTTATCAATGGTCACCATGATCCACACCTTGGCATTGAGGCTCTGCAGCTGGTCCTTTGCACTCTTCAGCTCGCCTTTTGCCTAACATAAAACCGAGTGGCTAAAGGTAATCATGTGAACCAATGTTCCTCACTGAATTCCGATGGTCAAGGGGTTAGTTCCTCACTAAATTGCCATGATCATGCTAGGATACACTGCTATACCCAATCTCTGGACAAATGCTATTGACTATGGCGGTTATTTGTGGAACCTTTTTTCTGGAGAAAAAAACCGGCACACACAGATAGGATGAAGGCCTGCTCAGTCGCATTGGTGGTCACCTCCAACCTCAGTTTTCAACAGCTTTCAGGCCCAAAATCATGAAACTTAGCAGAGTCAATCAAGAGTGGCAATGGTGAAATCCCCAAAAATAAAGCTCCATTTATGGAGCTTTTCATGGGAACATCAACTATAACATACTATAACTGGGATGTTTTCCATCTCGAAGCAAGATCACTGAGATCACTGAGGTCGTCACTGAGCTTCGATCTGCGCAAGCTGTGTCTGCAAGGCGCCTTCCTGACAGAGGATGCCATGTTCAGGCCATGTTGAAAGGAAAACTGGACAAAGTGGATCCAACAACAACAACAACAACAACAACAACTACTACTACTACTAGTACAACAAGTAAGAAAAATAATATCAGCAATAGCAACGACAATGAATCAAACTGCAACCAATGCTGATTGACCCCCTTCCCACCTTCGCTTCTGCAACTTCACGGTCTGCCTGCAAGGTTTGGGAGATCGCGCTGATAGTTTTACCGAGGGGAATCCGATTGCAACGACATGAACTGCCGGCCTTCACTTGCTTGCCCAGTTGCCTACAAGCGAAAGCTGCTATTTTCAACTGTTTTTTACAGTCGTTGGATGAAGTACAGTCGGGGGATGCCAACAGGCCACATCGGCCACATCCAATTTGTTCTGCTTCTCAACCCACAAACAACATGGTTTTTTTGTCACACCATGGAAAATCCAAACCATGGCGTTCGACGGATTGAACAACTGCAAGTGTGACAAAAGGCTCAAAAGGAGGTGCTACGGTGCTACGTTCATTCAAGACATGGAAAAAGAAGGCCATCAGACCAATCAACGTCACAACAACTGTCACAGCTATGCGGCAACACGACCCCGCTTCAAGTTCTCCATCAGAGTTGTCTTCTCTTTCTCGAGCTGAGTAATTCGATTCTGCAGCAAAGCATGAACTGAGGCATAAAGCTAAATAGCTGTGGATTGTCGGGCGAATTTGACTGAAGCTAGGATAAATTGGCAAAGAAGGCCTTTAACATCACAAGTTGAAACCGTCCAGGACCACTTGAGAGAAAAAAATGCGTGCATCGGCATCGGTCCTCTTTCTGCTGGATGTCAGCCTCCAGTTCCACCTGCCTCTGAATACTCTCAGCATCAGCTTGCCTGCAAGGAACAGAAACGTGTCGGATCAAGATGCTACGTATCATCTCTATGAATCCAACTCCAAACTTTCATTCGAGAGTTCCATCCTGAATCCAACTCCAAAGGGACAACATTTGCTGGTGCAGTTTTCGCCAGTGAATGCACCATTGTTTGATGGTGATACTCCGTACCAGTATCCTTGGTGAAAAGAAGGGATCTAAAATCTATCAAAATGAATTAAGGAATCTAGAACGGAAGGTCTTCAAACCAGGTCTTCCTGTCCGTCCAGATCAGGTCTTCCAAGGCTCAGACGAAAGCCGCTCCTGCAAATTGGCCATTTCTGAGAGCAGCTCGTTCCGGCTGGCCTGTAGAGACTGTAGAGACTGCAGAGTGAAGCAGGCTGTGCAGAGGGGCGAGATAGTAGCTGCAACACAACTGTAAAGATCCTTAAACTATTGTCATGTAAGTTTCATGCAATGTTCATGTAATTCCGGAAATAAAGGAAGAGCTGAAGTGGCCGCAAAAGATGTAAACGCATGGTCACAAACTCAGTTTCTGTTGAAAAACGATGATGGCTAATTCAACAGAAAAGAACCAGCAACCTGAAAACTTGAGAACCGTCCAGGTCAGGGCTCACAAGACTCAGAAGTATGCATACCCATGTAACCCATTGTGCACCCCATAGTATGCTCATTGTGAACATCTTCCAACATCTTCCAACATCTTCCAACCGATGCAGGATTTGCAATGAAGTACTTGCATACTTGCGCCCTGCCAACAGATCCACGTTCCATTTTCTCACTGCTTGAGGCATTCCACAAGACTATCTTTTTCATTGAGAACATGTAGCAGGATCTGTCCCCTCAAGATCATAAAGTGGGCACTGAGGAAGCCGAATCCCGACGCACGAGAAACTCTGCTGGTGGTTTGCAGAAACTCCTTTAAGAACAAAACATAAGCACCCTTCAGAACAAGCCAACAAGTGGAAAAAAAACATGAAAAAACAATTCTTGGAGAGGTGGGTATGAATCATGAGTAGGACCAAATCTTTATTTAAATCTTCCGACCAGATGTTTTCTCTGTAGCCATTGAAACATATTGAAACATATTGATCCTCCCAATGTCTCAGAATCTGGGTTTGCAGCTTGGCGGCTTGGCCTGGCCTGCATCTTTTGCTGTGCAATCTGCGACATCTCCAGCTTGTCATTGACTTCAGTGTAAATCTCCTGCCCAGCACAAGTGTGGCACAAGTGTGGCACAAGTGTGGCACAAGGGCCCAACACTTTGGCCAAGGGCGACCTAGGAAAGTCGATGAAAAACGGTCACATCTTTGCGCACCTGTAACATAGCGATCTGCATCCTCAGCTCTTCTCCAACACCTGAATTTCAGCAAACGCAAAAGAATCCCAAAGTCACTTGCCGCATCGATGGAAAATTATTCTCATTGTGTACGCAGAAACGAACCTAAACTATGCAATGGCAAATTGTATATCACAAACAGATATAAACAGTACATGATATGTAAGATGCGGTGGTCATTTTGTGGATCACAAATCACATGTCATATCTCTGGGCTGCTCACGTCTTTCCACCTCCAACTGCTCCTGCAGTAATCCAATCATCCCACTGCATGGTTGCTGCCTTTTTTAGGACTACCCTGACACAAACACATGCCGGAAAACTCCAATTCAAAGGACGTCAGAGCTTGAATAGGACAAACACCTCTGACTAATCCAGTGAATTTCAAAACATCGTCACCAAAATAAGGCATCAGTGGCGTGTTTGGTCATCATTTCTATGAGATTTAAAAAAGGAGGCTTGAATGATTCAAACGATTTCTGATGAAAGAGACTATATATTTCGATTCAAACAGATTCAATCCTGGGCGTAACCAAGTTTACGTCAATAAGATTCCAACATCAAAATGAACACTTGAATCCATGGATTAAGTGATAAAGCGCCCATAACCCATATGTCATGGCTCTCCACGGCTCTCCTCCATCTGTTTTTTAAGGTCTTCAGCTCCCTTCTCAATCTGCGCTGCTTGATGGCTGCGCCTGAGCTCAAATGCTTAGCGCACTTTGCACGGCTCAAGCGCTTGGAACTTTGTGGTACTGGTTGCAACATGTTCCCATGTTGCAAACATGTATTTAATATGTCTGTATATTAGATCTATAATATTATATGTATTGTAATATTTATGTTAGATATGTATTATATTATCTCTATATATATATTGTATTATAATTATATATATATGCATTATACTATATATATATATTATAATATATGTACGTATGTATCATGAGATTTCGTTGCCACACTTGCCTCTGCAATTGTTCTTGCAACTTCCGCTCCAGGTTCGCCTGTCACGTCGCAGAAAGGTCTGCCCCACGGATGTCTGCACACTACTTGCATTGTGCCTCCTAAGTCTGCAGCACACATGAACACAGCAATGCCCAACTCCAAAATTGCATAAAATTGCAGTATATCTAACTCACTGCATCACACCTCCATTCCATCAAATAGACCTCTGCGTGCAACAGCACCTCATGTTTTCCGAAGCAAGGGCTGAACACAGAAGCAGCTTGCTTCACGGCCCTTTGACTTGTCAGAGACTCGCAGACAAAACAATGTTCCTATCTTCTACGATTTGATGCGCGATGCCATTGCTGACTGAAAAGCTACTGAAAGCGTTCAAATTCTTGAGGGCCCAACGGGGTCCGTTCCTGTAAATGCATACAAGGATCTTCGAATCGTCAAGGCTTTCATTCATCTTTCATCATCCAAAGAGATGAATTGGTACCACATCTGCATTGGCCTCTTCTGTCGCATTGCCAAAGTCACAGCTGCTGCTGCCAAAGACAGCGACCTTCTGTGGAGCACGGTAGCTGACATGTGCTTTGCATGTATATATATATATTAAATGTATCTGAAAACATCTGAACATACTCATACAATTCATGGTGATTGAACTGGAAAGTCGGAAAGTCGTGACTGTTCGGTTTGACTTCATTTCTGTGTACTCTTCGCTCTTCTTGCAATCGAAATGCCAGTAGCATCTATCAGTCCACGAATCAAAGTAAGGAAAGGCCCCAAAAAAATGGATGGCTGGCGGCTGAAGACTAAACATGTCTACAACTTCAAGCGGTAACAAGTTTTAACCACCAAAAATGTCCCTATCCCTATCCCATCCCATTACATTGGTTGGTTCGTATGTATCCCTCTTGTGGGTTTAAATGGTTTTAAAATTCCCCAATAAACCAGATTGTATGCCCACCTACAATTTCACAAGCAATCAATAATCATTTATCAAGTATATAATACATATCAATGTATAAATCATATCCCCATATCATAGATAGTTCAAACCCATAGTCCGCCAGCCAATTGATGGTTAAATCCCATGAACATCCCATGAACAGCTGGCAGCTGGTGGAACTTTCCGAGGCCACGACATCAACGGCATCGACGCCGGGGCCGAAACAGCGGGCGAAATCCATCCGGCCGACACGCGCGGCGCCTCCACCGTGGGAAGTCGTTGGTGATTGAATTCCACGCATTCCACCCGAAAAATGAGATGCAAATGGAGATCATTGGAGATCGGTAGAATGGAAAGTAAATAAATTGTTCAAACCACTTGCCAAATGAGGAATAGTAGGAACGTCTATTCATTCAAAATCTTGCATTTACCATTCCCAAGTACCGCCGAAGCCTCACCAACATTGGTTGGCTTACCAGACGGGGCGTGGAAGCCTGCAACCCAGTCCGAATTTCAAGATTCATTGTGTCAATTGAATTTGAATTCTACGCTAACCATGTCTAACCATAGATAATCTTGACAAAATTCTGCTGCTTGTTTTCCCCTAAGATCTTTCCAATTTCCTTGAATGCTGGTTTGTTTTCAATTTTTCCTCACCTGGCGCCACAAAGGCTACTCCGGCAGCAGCTGCACTACCTGCGCCATTCATCTGGTGGTCTGTTATTTACTAATCGTTATTACTATTTCTATCTATTTCTTATATATAGAAATCTTTCATAATATTGCTATATTTTCCCAAAAAAGTATCTGTTGATATCCGTTGTCAGTTGTTCGACCACCAAGGCTCCGGGCAAGAGAGTACAGCCACTCGCCGGCTTCGCCTGAATAATTTGATCAAAGGATGAGAACTGCGGTTGGGAGCTTGACAGAGGGAGACAAAGGCAAAGCGCAGCAAAGCTCGAAGCGTTTTAACTCAACTTTGCCAAACAATAGTCAAAGACTTGCCAAGTTCATCCAAGTTCATTGCATTCCAAGAAAGATCGGAAACCAGTCAGCAAAGTCAAAAACTTTGCATGACTTTGCTTCCGGGCACAGCTGTGTTTTTTTTCACTGTCACAGGGGGGTCAAACATCGGGAGCATCTCGTTCTGTGTCACTTCTTCTCCGAGAGCAATTGTTCTCGCATGCTGTGAATCTCTTCCATTCGATGATTGAGCTCTTCAATGCCCACACCAAACGTGCAAGCCCACAGAAAAGAAATCACGGTGCCGCTGCTGCAGAATGCAGGAAAGTAGTAGATGAACAGCATCCATCCCTCCGGAATTCGCTGAAAGTCTGTGAGTCCAACTTCGATGTAGAAGAAAATACTGAGCAAAGTGATGAAGACGATGTATGGAGCGATTTTTGAAAGCTGCCGTTCAGTGATCCAGTTGAAAACAATCGCCCCAGTCATAATGGCCAGCATTCCAAGGATAGCGCACAGAAGAAGTGCCTGACAGGACTGTTTATTCCACAACCACCTGCTGTAGCAGGCTGTAGCCCTTGTACCGCTACTCTCGAACCGAGATGTTTCTCATGTTTTTCCCAAGAATTGCACTGCTTTGATTTTCGTTGGACCTATGAAACCAAAATTCTACTGGCCTCTGAAGCAGCTTCCAAGCCAGGAGGAATAACCAGCATGTAAAGCCCCCAAGGAACCACAAGGAAGACAAGCCCTGCGCTCAGTTCTGCTAGACCAATGATCAGTCGCAGCAGGGTAGCCGGAAGGCCAAAGAAAGGCCCAATCGCTTTGTCGAAGGTCAAAACCAAAACGTTGTACATCGGATGTCCAGGCAGCAGTTTTCCCAGTCCAGCAATAGCCAAGAATAAGAATCCCAATGGGGTCCCAATCAAAAGGGAACCAAGCACAGCTGGCAACATGGCCAACCCGGTTTTTGATATGTTCGCTTCAAACCAGGGCACAAGTCATGCAAGTTTGTACTGGCTGCAACTAGTTTCATTGGTTTCACAAATTTGAGGATGAGGGCAAAAAAACGCAAGGTGATTCCTGTTCTTTGCTCCGTTGAGTCTTGTGATGCAATGCAATCAAATGCTGAATTCAACGTGTTGGCCAAAAGTCAAAGTGAACCGCCTGACGACATGCTCATGTTTGGACCAAAACATCTCAAAGTGGCAAACAGCACCGTGGGTCTTAAAATTCAGCTGCGACATGATCAATTTTTGTCCAGATTACAGTTGCAAGATGTTGCAAGAACTTTTGACCCCAGGTTTGGTACTTGCCTACGTTGCAAACACTACTTGGGGTGTTGCGATTCACTTGCACCTCCTTACTACAAATGCATACAAATGCCATATTTTTTTGCTATAGCCTTTTCCAACATCCCAGGCCCCCCTCATGTCAGGTCAGTCGCCAAACCAGTGAAGTATACAGAATGAATAAACAAAACCCCAAGGCTTGTCACGCAACCCCAATGCCACCCAGACCATGCCATGCCTCTCGGCCATGATGCCAGAATTGAAAGTGCCGGTCGAGCCAAAAAAACTTGCAACATTTGCAGCTGGGCGGGGGCACTTTGCTTTGCTGCAACTCGTGCGTGGAGCTATAGACTATGGACTTGCGCAGTCCTGAAAGGAACTATACTTGAATATGCGTAAAAACGTGATGGATTTCGTGCGTTCCCCTGAAAAAACAATGTGAATCTCGACTGAAAACTAAATTTTAGATTTCGTGAAGTGGAGGGAAAATTGTATGCTGTTTGTGGGATCTTCAATTTGGGGATGCACAACAACAACGACAACAACAACAACAACAACGGCCACCACAACAACAACAACAAGAAGAAGAAGAAGAAGAACAAGAACAACAAGAACAACAAGAACAACAAGAACAAGAACAAACACTAACATGCGACAAAAAGATGTGTTACAAGCTGCGGTGTGAAAAGAACATCATACTGACATACTGTGCTCTGCACCTGCGCGCACGCGCCGAGCACATGAACAAAAACAACGCTCACACTACTATACATAACCTTTAGGGCATCGCCGGTGTGCGAAGCTCTACGATTATTTATGGAAACCAAGTCTTCAAGTCACTCCCAGTGTTTGGCTTTTTCTCACGACGAGCGCGTTAATCCTTTTCCAGAGGATCCTTGGTGGATGACAGGAGCAATGCCTGGATGCCACTGGTTGCGGTTTGAATCCGGGCTGAACATCTGAGGGCATGACATTGATGTTCCTTGGATGCCATGGAGTTGATTAGCATACCACTTTTCAACTTCTACGTCCAGCACAACTTTGCGAGCCAAACATGCAACCAACAAAGATAGGTACAGCTTTGCAAGCAAGTGTCTTCTGCCGCCGATGGCGTTGTGTCTTGATGCGGTCCGCAACAGACATCTGGTGGGGAGTAAACGTCAGCATCACATGGGCTCCCAACAACAAATACTTCAGACTATCAACAGCCGAAATCATTCTGAAAGGGTGCAGATCATGCCTCAACACGACTAAACGCTATGGTTAAACACCGGGAGTTCTCCAACCTCTGCGTCGGCGGCGTATGCATCCTTCCGCAGATCTCGGAAATACTTCCTGAGAAGCGAAGGATGCGTTTCTATTCAACAACTGATCCATGTAGCAGCACCAAACACACATTGGTCATGTCCAAGATTTCCTTCGGTCAATGCAATCTTGCTCTGACCATGTCAACATTGAGCCAAGTGTGTCACTGATCAGACTTCCCTCTCATCTTTGCTTCCAATTCCTACAGAACGGCAGGACTGAAACGTGGCAAAGGATCTAGTTACTCTTGTGAATGTTGCTTGCTGTCAGAAGAAACATGTCAGAAGTGTCAACGAAGATATGTACTGTCCTCGATCTGTTTCTCCCTGTCTTCTGCAGAAGCTATCCGATCATCCTTCATCCTGCAAAGTACAAGAGAACCCTATCCTGCTCGGCGCTTGCTCAACAGTGACAATGTCGCTTTTGCAGAACAGAATCCAAATCAATGGGCCAATGGGCTTTTAATCACATTAAAAGGCTGAAATATATTGAAATATGATGTATGGATGAAGCTGGAGGCAGAAAGCATCCTGACATCGAAACATCGCACTCGAAAACTCATGTGATCTCACGTGCAAAGTTTGCCTCTCATGCTTTTTGGCATCAACCTCAAATCTCCAAGAAGTCTTGCCAAAACTGGTCAATCTTGCAAGTTTGAAACTTATCAAATTTGAAACGTTTGAAATCTGCAAAGTGCCTCTAGGAGAGGTTTTCCAAGGGGTCGTCAACATCTCAGGTGCTGGCTCTCATTTGCTGCACTCGCTGATCTTTCTCCTCATCTGTCATTCGCCTGCGCTTTGAGATACACCGTCTCTGTTGGTTTTGTGAGTCAGTTCGAACCAACACCTTTCAATGAAAAGAATCTAGTTCTGCTCACTTTGCTAATCCCCAAATTATGAAAACTGCCAAGAGTTCGAACATATCAAACATGCGTTCTATAAAGCAAAGCAAGATCTGTGCAGTCTATGCTGATCTTGGCAACTGCTCTTTGTGCCTTCCCAGACCACGACTAGCTAGTGCTGCATCTTTTTGCTGCTTCACTCGCATTTCCTCAGGGTGATTGTGCATTGTCACATTGGTCAAATATGTCAAATGCCGATTCACTGCTGTATTGGCTGAGAGTTTGGCATATCTTGGCATGGCATGTCCGCATGACACGCATGACACGCTTGGCATGGCATGACACTGGGCATCCCAGACGTGTTCCATGCGTTTGCTCAGCACAGCTTGGCTGGGTCCAAGCGCAGACAGGTCCGGCCTAAGAGGGGTCCGGGAGATCATCGCCATGACGTGCCCCACGTGCCCTACGTGCCCTTTGCCATTGCCATTCATATCATTCATATCATTCATCAGGCAATGATGGAAATGGTGATATAGATGTGATATATAGATGTGAGATATAGATGTGATCCCTGGAAGCGGCCCTTGACCTTTTCATACCTGGTCAGAATCCAGGTCATTCTGGGTCTTGCTCTTTGACATCCGAGAGGCTCAGGTGGCTCTTCCCTTTCTCGCTTTTTGGCCTGGGTACGGCCGTGATTGGAACATAGGTCCAGAGTCCGGGCTTAAAACACCAGACTACCAGCTGGATACGAACTGGACATGATCAATCTGTTTCAACCTGGTAACCTGTTTTCAACATGTTTCAAGCGCCACTAGAGTCTCTGCACCACAGGTTGCCCTAGCCCAAAGTTGGACTTGGAGCGGCATCAGAGCCCAAGGCACTATTTCACCATTGACCATTGGATGGTTCACTCATTTTCTTGTCCAACGTGCTTCGGATTGCTGAGGTGTCTTCTATCGCCGTCTATCCCATTGCACTTCATATATATCTTCATATCATTTCTAGATGTTTCATAAATGTTTCATACATGTTCATGTTTTTTTCATATAATTGTTTCTAAGGTTGTTGACTTATGTTGACGTTGTTGACCCAATTCAGCAGTTTCTTCAACGGTTCCATGGCTCCCATGGGTCCCACTCTGCGCGAGGCACCGGTGGAGCCGGTGGTGCTGCAGGCTCCTCTGAGCTGTCACTACTGGATTTCTTCTTTGCCTGTCACGGGAAGTCACGGGAAGTCACGGGAAGTCGGAGGTTACTAACCCTATAGGATCCATGTAATTATGCTATATATGGTAACATGGATCCCATCAATATACCCCAAATGTTAGCATATATACCAGCACCATGGATCCTATGGGACATTACAACATATTACAACTGAATCAATTGGCACTCTGAGGCAGTTGAAATGTGTTGAAATGTGTTGAAATGTGTTGAAATGTGTTGAAATGTGTTGAAATGTGTTGAAATGTGTTGAAATGTGTTGAAATGTGTTGAAATGTGTTGAAATGTGTGTGTGTGTGTGTGTTGACCCTTGGCAAAAGCCGGTCAAAATTGGCAGCTTGTTGACGAACAAAACTTGAGCTGTGCCTTTGCGGCTTTCTTCAAGGCCTCGTATTCTTGGCTGAACACAAACCCCCAATGCACAATCCACGGTCCCAAGACAATCCAAATCAAAATGATCCCTCGACTGTTCGGCAACATAGGAATCCAATGGAAACCAATCGAAACCACCGGAATTTTTGCTAGAAGCTGTGCATCTTTCTGCACCTTCTCCTCCTTCTTCGCGGCTTTCTTTTCTTTTTTGGCTGCTTTCCTTGGAGGAACTTAGAGAAGGCTTGTATGACAACTGAAAGGTTTGGCTCCCTGCAATTAAAACATATTAAAACACTAAAATTCGACAAAAATCAACAAGTTGTCAATAAAGACACCTTCAGAAAGGCTGCATGGGCCAAGTTGTGCATCTCTTGCATCTCTTGGCCTCAGACTTTGCTGCCTTTTCTTGTTTCTTTTTGATCTTTGCCATGATGAGGGGATTTGTCATCCTAGGAAAACAATGGAAAACACAAAACATGATCAAAACATGTCTCCAGGATGCTGGCAGGCTTGATTGCGAAGATCATCTGAAATCCAAGAAGAATCTGACCATGCCAAGGGCAGCACATGCTTTCCTTCGCTGCTTGCTCTTGTCGACGTATCTGAAAGAGCGGATCTTCTCGCAGCTTTCGAACCATGTCCTACATTTTCAGGAGGCAGGGTCAAAGCCGATATCTGACATATTTCTGGCATATTTCAAACATGTTGCGAGGACATTGCGATGCTGGATTCTGCAAACAAAATGAAGGACTCTACGGCGTCTCTACGGATTCTGGATGTCCTCGGTGGTCTTGGTGGCACTGGTTAGGAAGAGAGAGCCAGCAGTGTTGCCCCTTGGAACTGCTGGACGGAACTGTGAAATTATGAACATGTAAAAACATAGAGAACATATCATGTACAAGGTAATGCCACAGTATGTCACATATCATGCTAAGTTCAGTTGTATTCAAGAGAAAGCTGCGTGGCATACGACATATGAACCAGGACACGCCAGGTCAGGAAATTCAAGCTCAAATTTAAATGGTCTTTCATAACCAGGCACTGCAAGTTCTTGACAGCCTCAATGTCTTTGTCCTGGCGAAGAGCGAGTCCATTTGTTTGAACATGTTTGGCGCAATATACAAACATCACCATGACCCTGGCTGCGGTAACAACATGCAACAGCTCTGTCCCAGTGAAAACTTCCAGATGCAAACGATCAGCGTGCCTTCTGAGCAGAGACCTGAATCTTCATCATCTCATCATAATACTCATCGTCGTTGGGCTTCACAGCTGCTGCGCTCTGCTCATACATCCAATCCAGCCTGCCAAAGGCGTGAATTCAACATCCATCGTCCATCCACATCCGTCCTCCGAAACCTATGATCTATGCAAATCTCTATGGGAATCTCTGGAAATCTGAGATGACTCTGCAACAAACTCTCGCCGATACAAACGTGGCACCATGTGGCGCCTTTCTGGTGCTTGCGGTGCATTTTTGATGATCGACATGGCTGCAGTGCGGTCGGCAGCCGCCACCGCACCGAGAGCACCAGCTGTGCTTGAGACACTTTTCAAACACTGCGAAGTCTTGAAATGTGGCAAAAAGATGCAAAAATGATGCAAATAGTCATCGAATTTACACCAAGTCCATCGTGACATATTGGTCGATCTGGTCGATGGCTTCTGGGTATAATTGTTTGTGTCTCCGGAATGTTTCCTGCACTGACACGTGGATGCATATTTCATTTGAGCCAACACCAGGATATCACAAAACATGTATAAAAATCATCATGAGAATCAATATGAATCAATGATCTATGTTCGTTCTGATTTCATGAACCATTCTTCAATGCTTCCATCCAACTTCAGAAAAAACATGTTCCGTTGATCCGTTGATCCTCTCTGATGATTGACCCTAAGGTTGTCTTTTCTCATGGATGAACATAAAACATGTCGATCCATCAGCAGGTGTTTTTGCCGCAGCACTTTTTGGTTTTCGAAAATTCATTAAAAGGCGCGCACGTCAGTTTGGAACGGTTTAAGAAGAGCAGCTAATCAATTCACTCGGAGTCTGTTCAGTCTTTCTTGCCGACGACCTGGCAGTTCAATTTCAGACTGGATCTAAAAACCACACCAGAGCCTTGCTAGGCGTTCATGGCATGTGCTACAAACATCTACAAACCGCTTGCACCATGTCTTTTGGGTTCCCTATCCGGCCAGGGCTTCTGGACAACAAGATCAACAAGTAGAATTCAGTGGAATTCAGTAGAACAAATTTACTGAATTTTGCTCAATGCTAAATGATGCTAATTTGTTACTCGCTAAATTAGCTAAATATCTGCGTGTCGTCACCTATGACAAGCTTTGTTGAACCCACACAAAGAGACTGGGGAGGTCGTCGCATTGCTCCTGACTATGGACCATCAAGCTGATCATCAGACAGTGAACGGCGTGTCCTTTCTAGGGTGCTAGATATTGACACCATGGCTGTAAGCCCCATGCCTCCCCAATCCTGGGCCGGGCCTTGGTAAAAGATACGTATTTGCTCGCATTGGAGGCCAGCGTCACGCCCAGGTTCACAATCTTCCTGGTGGGTCCAGCGAATCTGAACAACATCTGATCATGAACAAAAGTGCACATGGATTTCGCAAGCATTGTAACCAGGTCTGACAGCATTGAAAACAACACAGTTGGGATTCTGGTACGAAAATTATATATTATATATAATAATAAAATATTACAATATATTATCTGGTACAAAAAAAAAATGTACAATTATTGACTTAATATTGACTTAATATTGATGGCAGCAGGTGACTGAGACCAGGGCTGGGGGGAGCGGCCCACGATGCGGTTCTGGGCACGATAGTCCTCGTTGGCAATTACAATCTTCAACGCACGGCAACCAAGGCAGGGAGTATTTTGGAAGTCTTGTAGTACACAACCAAAATAATTAATGTGTACTATCATAATTAATCAAATGGTAGTGTACTATCATAGTACCAAAATAATTCTGATAGTACCAAAATAATTATGATTAATCAAATGTGTACTATCATAATTAATCAAGGAACTTGTCACCAATGATTATATAATATATATAATTATGATTAATCAAATGTCACCAGAAGTGCAACAAGTTGCAAGCGGTAGCTCACTGGCGAGGAAGCTTCTTGCGAAGGCAGAGAAAATTGAGATCTTGGTCTCACAACCATCCTACCATATCCTACCCCTTCCAAATTCTGTGAACATTGTGAACTCACCGAACTCACCTAATTCCTGCCCAGGCCACTTTCCAAGTTTCGCGGGATACTGTCACTGCAAAGACTAATTCAGAATCTCAGCTGGAAACGTTCCCAAACTCCGGAAATCTTGTGGGATCTTGTGGAATCTTGTTGTCAGTGGTTTCTTATCAAGCTCCAAATTTGATCAAATTTGCTTCAGAAGCTGAGATTCCAACGTTCCATTAGCGACTTAGTCGACTTATGCGTGCAGCCAACTTCGTTGGAGCCAAATTCGAGCTCGCTGAGACCTTTGAGTTCCATCCGTGCAGCCAGCAGGCCTGGAGATAAAACACCAACGAAAACCTGTTGACGGCGGCCTTGCTGTTATCACTGTCAACCTTAATAATATATTATATATATATACAGTATATACATATTCATATCATATTTATATGTATATATTATATATATATATTAGTCACTATCAAGGATTACATTTCAAATACCTTCGGATTGCCTTGTTCTGCAAGACTTAATTCGTAGTCACAGATGTGAACCAACTCAAAGATAGGCTGGCAGCACCGAAGACCGAACCGGCCAACAGTTTCCAACTACAATAGTTGTAACAGATAATTTAATGAGCAACCCACATAAGCCACATAACCCATTGCCTGAAGATGTGGACTGTGCCTGGTTAAGCCGTTCAGTGTCGCCACAGGCTGCAACTTGTGCAGCAAAGGGAATACGGAAACACTTTGAGCCGTTGGTCGATTGACCATTCAACCTGCTTATTTCTGCATGGTGGGCACTGGTGGGCACCACTGGACATCAAACCGCAATCAAGACAACCATCAATAACTGCCCCTTGCCTTGGTTAAATTGGATGTGATATGATTTGATATGATTTAATGACATGATCTTGCTGCACTAGGAGTCACATGGCTCATCCAAGATCTGATCGATGCTCTTGGCTTCTGATGTCAACTTCTGGACATCCGGGATGCGTACCTGGCAGGAAGGTGCAGAATAAGCAGCATTGGGTCCCAGATCATCCAGATTCATTGAAGATCTTGCCTGCGTTTTGGGTGTGAATATGAGGAAAGCTGTTGATTCTTAATTAATCGCGACCAGAAACTTTGGAATTGACCGATCTGACCTATCTTCAGCGCACGAACTTCGCTGCATCTCCATGTCAAAGGTTGCTCGTCGGCCTGCTGAAGTCGACCAGACCAAATGATCCAAATGGTTCACCAAATGGTTCACCAACAGGAAACAAAGATCAAGATATATCAAGAACGACGATTCAACTGGCCTGTCGTCTGTGATGGCCGCCAATTTCGATCTGACACAGCACAGCTGTTTCATGTTACTATCTTTTTACATTTGTTTATTTACATTCTTTTACTATACCCTCTGGTAAACTAACATAACTATGGAAAATCACCATTTTTAATGGGAAAACTCACTATAAATTGCCATTTTCAATAGCGAACTGTTAAATTACCAGAGGGTATGTTTCAGCATGTTTCAGCAGGTTTCACCGCCATGGCAGGGGGGAATCGCCACCTTCGGAGACTCCGCGACTGCCGCAACTGCCGCAACTGCCGCAACTGCCGCAACTGCCGCAGCTGCCGCGAGAGCTGCCGCGCGACTGCCGCGACTGCCGCGCTTCTCGAGGACCTCGGGCTGCCAAGCGTGGAATCCTATGTAGCGGCGGAAGGACCTGGGCACCACACGATGAAACTCTGCCAAGGGACCAAGTAGCCTGCGCAGGGGATAAAGAACACTTCAAAAGAATTCAAAAGTGTTGAAGGAGAATTGAATGTTGAGTTCTGTTTACACTATCTCCGAATATTCCTGACACTTTCAGCAACTTTCATCCCTGGCCTTCTGAAGTCAGATTCAAACAGCACAGCCAAGGTGCACTCTGTCTCTGCCACCACCGAGGCAGCACGTGGACTGACACAACACGCAGGGATCACATTGGGGCACCATGTCATTTCATGCCTGTCATGTCTCAAGTTTCAGTTTTGGATCCACTTCAATCCACTTCTCATAGCGTGTCACAATATGTCGCATGGTCTTATCATGTCAATGTGTTGACCTTTACATTCTCGGCTTCACCCATGACCCATGGGATACCCAAGGGCAGTTGATGCAATGATATGCAATGAGCCATGGCATGCCATGGCTCAGACTGTTAGAACAGCGTTCCATCATCAAGCATGACGCTATATGACGCTTCTGTTTCAGCTACATACTTTGCACATCTTTGCACATCTTTGCACACTCTCCCTGTCCGACTTTGTTTTTACTTCGTACCTCGCTGATAGTAGTGCCAGCTCACCAAAGTAGTCACCTGGCCTTAGGGATCGGCCCCGTTGAGCCATGTTGAGCCATGTTGAGCCATGTTGAGCCATGATGAAATCAATGGGAATTCCAGGATCCTAAATTGGAGGTAAACGTACCATATTTTTGGCCATATTTTGTGGGGATATTCCCTCAAAAATAGGCCTGAATGTTAGGCCTTATATATATGGTAGGTACCTCCAATAATCGGATCTTGGGTCCTGGCCATTGATCAAAAGGCTCCCACAGGAAATGGATGGAACTGGAGCCAAGCACCGCACAAATAGCTTGCGACCACGCGTCCTTCCTGGTGTGACAACTGTGACCACATCGGACCACGCATTCGTTGCGCATAGGTTGCTGTCCTTGATGGCCGAAGCTTCGCCTTCAATCAACAGGAAGAACTCATGACCTGGCGCCAGACAGCCACTCAGATCTTCCCGAGCCATGAATGTGATATTGCCATTGCATGCCATTGTCATGTATTGCCAACCTCAACATAACAAGGTGGGACTTGAACACCCAAAGTGGAGCTGGTGAATCTACAATCAACCTTCAACTTGCTATGGATGGCTATGGCGGCTATGGGCTGATAATCTTGTTACCAGCTTGTGGTTCCTGGGCCTTCATCACCTTCATAGATGATGAAATCACCAGCTCCATACACTCGGGGTCGAAGGCATTCGATGACCTGCCAGTCAGAACCATTGCCAAACATTGAGTGGTGGAGCAAACACAGATATTGATCCTGTGGATGTGTCTGATGGCTCGCAAATGCTTGCAATGCCTTTGCTTCACATCTAAAGTAGCAGCAGTAGCACACTGCACAAATAAAATATAATAAAATCTTGGTTGGCTAGCCACATCTCATTCTTGGCCAACAAATTAAGTGGGAAAAAAGGCTATCCGGATCTATCCGCAGATGGATCTATGCCAGAGACTTTAGAAAGTGTCCTTTCAAGTCCACTGCAATGACATATATTTCAAGTCCTATTTTGAGTGCCCATTCTGGATATTCTGGCCTGCTGCCTTTCTTCCCGGCCCAATGGCTGAAGCAAGTGAACAGACCTGAGACTCGTGGATTGAACTAGCCTAAACTGGACCTTCAATTTTTCGGCGGCTGTCACTGGTGTGAAAAGTGAAGTGTACTGCAGATTTCTGTCCCCTTTATATATTGGTGAACGAACAAGTCTTAACAAAGATTTTACAGAGATATGACCCGATAATCTGGGAATTTGACCGACAGTTCGTTGAACTATTGACCGACCTCTCACTTTCCTTGACAGTTCAGCCAATTGCATGTCAAAGGGACTGAAGTTTCCTGTCATAGTACATCCGCTTCGCTTCCTTCCAAGATGGTTGATGTGAATCGGAAGCCGTGATACGGTCAGAAGCACGCGCGACAGTTGTAGAACAAAGTGTCCCAACAAAAGGAGGAAAACGCCCTGTCTCAATCATTCTCAATCCCTATCAGCTTTTGATGTCTTCGGACAGTGTCCAAAATGCTGCACCACTGTCCTGGAACGACCTAGTGATTTTGACCACCGTCTGTCTGCTGACGGACCAAATCTTGGAGGCCTTAATAGTAGGGGGGTTTTGTGCATAAATGCGATGTCACCATTTTTGCACATCCAAATTGCAGTGACTGCAGTGTACAAATCATACAAAAACGCATGAAACAACTCTGATTCCAATCAATGCACAAGAGTTTCGCTCCCCAATTGACGATTTTCCAGAAACCGGGCAAATCAGAATCACCACTTTCAAGTATGCAAAAAAAACTTCTACCAATTTCTGTAAATGGATATCATTGGAAATCTTAAAATATCTCAAGAATTTTCCAGCGTCGTGTCTGAGTGCGACTCTTCCACAGCTTCCACGGTTGCAGCTCGTGGAGCCTCGAGAAGGGTCACTCCAGAGAACATCCTGTGTAAGTTATGTGTTTGGTCAACTATATGATAAACATGATATAAATTGTAGACATTGTATCATAATTAATCATAAATTTGATTCATCATCATGATTGAATATGCATTTTATCCGCGTTGCTACCAGATTTATACATCATCATAATAATAATGTTTTGATCCCAGGTCCCAGCGTTACACTTGGTGTCATGTGACTGCCAGCATATCATCCCCTTTCTGTGTTGGTATCCAACAAATGAGCACATGATTTCCAATAACAGCGGTCGCCGTAAATCAAATGGATTTTCAGTCTGTCTGGTAAATCCAATGGCATGGTATGGTATGATGTGGTGCGGTATGGTATGCCATGACTATCAGATAAATGGTAAATAAGATTATTCCCTGGTTTCTATCTGTGATCTCCAAAAATCCGGAAATATTCATTTCTATCTGAGATTTGTGTCAATCTTTGATGTTTTGCGAAGTTTGAAATTGTTTCTATCTGCTAGTAATCCCCTATAATACATGATGGTATTGTATGGTATGGCATTGGTCAATCAGAATCAGAACTGACCCCCACCTGATGGATCACGGCTAATTCGCCGAAGACACTGCCCGGCCTTGGATGCGGTATCGGGTATTGATGTCAGGGGAAAAAAAAACACCGATGAAAGCTGTACAGCTGTACAACTTTCACAACCATAAGCGAAAACGCAACAACTTTTTGCCGCCAGCTCTGAAACTGCCTGATCGAAGTGCCTGTGCTGTGCCTGTGCTTCTGATGAGACCAGCTCTAAGTTGTGCTTTCACACGCTTCACAACTATGTGCGTGTGTGTGTGTGTGTGGGGGGGATGCAAGAACCCCCAAAATGATTTTGGAGAGCTGGAAGCCAGAGAATGCCAGAGAGCTTGGCGCTGTCAGCGGCACTCAACGGCCGACGTTCTCAGGCTCTACAAATCTCTACAGGCTCTCAGACCGTGCAACGCCCCACTTCCGCTGCTGCCGCGTACTACTGGGGACTGCACAAGTCTGCCACCAGTCACCAGAACCAGAAATATTCCCCATGGGATCAGAGCACGCAGCAGCTGCTTCAGAAAGACCCTGGCATTTCACCACTACCAAACATGGCACCAGTGGAGATGGAACACTGTTCAACACCTCATCCAAGAAAGAAAGTATTCGACATACTGCAGTGGAGCTTCGGTCACCACCAATATCAACAAATATTTTGAAGTTCTCAGTTCCTTCTTGCAGCTCACGGCAAAGTTCAAGCAACCGTTCACGCTCGTGGAAGCAGTTTAGCAACTCAATTTGGCAAAATGGATATCTGCGACGACTCTCCTCCACCAATTCCTGGCTGTTGTCGATGCCAACCACAGCTTTGGCATGTTTGGTGAGAATCTGCGTGCATTCTCCAAAAGAAGACCCAATCTCCAAGACTCCATCGGCCTTTCCAACTTGCGTCTTGGCCAAACGGCGGTAACTTACCGTTTCGTTGACCACCAACACACGTTGTGGAGTGCTTGGAAGTACACGTGTCAAACGTGAAATGGAAAAAGAAGCAACGTTTTCGACGCTTTCTGGCAAATGGAGCAATATTCTACCAGCTTGGCAACGCCTTGCCAATCCAGCACAAAGTTCATCATATTGGAGGCCCGGTGCAATGCCCACCATGTCTGCCACCCGGGCGTGGCAATGCTTCAGATTGCTGCGTAGGTCCACGGCCACCACTTCACCTGGACGGAAATCTTCGAACAAGTTTCCAGCCCAGCCAGGACTGAAGCCGCGCTTATCGCACGGTCTTTGAGCACACTGCCACAAATGGGTAGCGAACGGCAAAGAGAACACAGCGGAAGCTGCTTCCATCGGATTCTTGGTAGTTTATTGAGAGATTCACTCATTCATGTTATTCATGTTATTCAATAGCAATGCAACCTCATGCGATCAACTGCACGGGTCTTATCTTTCGAGGACTTGAACACTTGACACAAATGTGTTGCAACGTCACCAGAGTATTGCGACAAAATCCAAAATGGATTGTGAGTGGGTTGCATGGATTGTGCACAGCAGCTTTGGCTGCAAGTCGCATCAGCCAAAATGGCAGCTATGAGCTCCCCTGGTACTTTCCTCAAACGGGAAATGGAAACAATTCGACTGCATCCATGCAAAGATGCTTTCCAAACCTTCGACTTGAATACATCTACTTGGTTTGGATATCAATGACACAGTTCTCACAGCTTCAAATGTTCCACCCTTTCTGCGCATTTTGAAGCATCTGTTATCACTAGTTATCACGGGTCCCTAGTATGTTGGAATGACCCTACCCCCTGCTTTACAGTGACTGTCAGTGACTGGGCTTGAATCTGCTCTGGGGAGTCACACTCTTGGTACACCTGGACTCGTTCTTCCTGCCAAGCCGGACAGAAACCAGACAGATTTGACAGAGCTTATACCTCTGCTGGAAGTCAAGTTCTCCACACTTTGAACAACACACTCGCCCTGAATTCTGTAAGTGATTATGGACTGAATTTGCAAATTGCTGCATGACCCACCTTATCCGGCCACGACTTGTCGATCTTCCATGCTTCCAATTTTCCCACCTGGTGAACAACGCGGACCACCATGGATCGTTGAACGAAGCACTGCAGTGAGACGGGCCTCCAAAACGAAAAGCCCCGGTGTCGAGTCTTCCACTAGGCGTCCCTCCACAATGACGTTGGCGCCCCTTGGTACCTGATTTTTAGCTCATTAAAGCTCCAAATTTCACAAGCAGAATCTGGCAAGGATCCAGCAGATGTTGTACATTGTTGCACCTCATGAGAACGGAAGGCATCAATCAAAATCTCAAAATGTCGACCATCAAGCTCCTGCTCAGAATTCGCACAAAGGCATGTCATGTGTCAATGGAATGTTCAAGATTGGACGAAACTGATTCTGAAGATGTAGGGCCGTAGGGTACTGTAGTCAGTCTCCCAGCTTGTTGCATTTGTATCACTGCGCAGTTTAGCGCAGTGGAGCTACCTGCAAAAGGATTTCAGGCATCCATTTTTATGTCAACATGGCCGGAGTGCTGGGTTCCCAAATCCTGAAACCTCGAGACAGACTGGACTTCTCCAAGTCATCCCAGAGCGATTCAGCTGTCCTCCAAGTAACTTCCCAAGGGATCTTTCGCTTCGTTCAAGGCGTCTCGAAGCAGCTGCCGAATCCTCCACCATGGATCAATGGGCAGCCCCCAACATCCTAAGACACTTCAAGCTTTGTGTAGGCTAGATCAAAAGGATCAAAAGGCAAGAATGGGATGGCCAGGCAACAATCAAAACCAAAACGGAATGTGATGTGTATATTCGTACATACTACTCATCTTGCCATCCCCCACACAGTAATTTGCCCCGTTATGCCCCGTTTATGTTCAAAACATACCACATCAGCATGGTCGATTTGTTGCCCCATTTGCCCCCCAGCGTCCCGCCTCTCGTCCTTTGGAAAGAATGGTGTGGCGCCTTCTGATCCAAATGCTTCCACCAAGATGGCTGCTCGACGACTGCAGCATTGGCACACACACTTGACTTTAACCACACAAAAAAAAACAAAACACAACCAAATGCTTGAATGTCACAACTTTGAAAATCTTTAAGATGATTTAAAACCTATGTTTACAAGACTTATTTTTTTTCCTTGCTGAGTCTGTAGATGTCTAGCGTCACCATTCGTCAGGTACCCTGAACATTTAAATGTTCTTAACCTGTTGGCCCCTGCAGCACAGGATGGTAGACCCAAAGCCCCACCAAGCCTGGCCATCTCTTTGTAGCCTCGGCGTCGCTGCACATGCGGGCACACTGTGGCTATGTAACGTCTCTCAGAGTGTTGCGACCCCGACCTCTTGCAACGGCAAGGAGAAGGAGATATGAGGAATCTTGAGCCAAGTAGCAGCATGTAGCGGCAGAAGCAATATTTTAGATTTGAACATGGCATCTTTCAACTAGCTTTGCAGGATGAAAACTTCTGCGCGGCAACAGGCCACTGTTCTTCATGGGCTTTGATGCACCGGAAACGCACCGGAAAAACCACGCCTCCTCCTCCTTCACGCGATTGGGGTAGATGCGGGGGAAGTATGGTCCTGTCAAGACTCACAAATCCTGGTCAGAACTGAAACAAGTTGAGCAGTGAGAAGACAAACACGCTATCCCATCCAATGTTGCTATTATACTGCACAATGGCTTGCAGTTGCTCATAAACTATACCTATTGCAGGGACCGGTTTAACGGTTTACGCATGCAAAAATCGCCATTTTAAACTGAAGCCAATCAAACGTCATTGAAGATCCGCAAACATCATTCATTTATGATATGGTCAAACATGGTCAAATATGGTCAAACATGGTCAAATATGGTCAAACATGGTCAAACATGGTCAAACATCATTTATAACATCGTGTTATATGATTTTAAAACATCATGAAACCAGGTGGTCCCCAACTTTGCCATCCCAGCGCACCGCCCAAGAGCTGGCCATTCTGCTGAGTGTGTCCTGGAGCCAGGGAAAATAAACTCGCTGATCCATCAGCATATGGCGAGTATGACACTTTTTGATTGAGGATATGGTGGATATGTTGAGATTGTTTCACATTGACACTGAAATTTACTGATGTTTCTTTACATAACTTTGTTGGAGACTCGAATTGAAGCTTATGGCAAGCTTTCCGACCAGGACATCGAGCTTTCGAGCACGCCACCGTTGCAGGATCCTGCAAGGTCACTGATTCCGCTGGCGCCACCTTTGTTGATGTACACTGCACCGGCCTTGCACCGAGTCGCCGAGCCAAATGGGTGTATACCATTGTATACCATTGTATTGTATATCAGATATCAATATATCATGATATTTCATTATATATCATTATATCATTAATATATCTGTATACCCCCCCAAATGGCAATTTCAACAAATTTTGATCAACGACAAACCGTTAACCAAAATGGCTTTGACCCACGCCTTGGCCATGGTGCCACCAATGGCGCGGCGTTGAGTGCCGTGGTCCCACTTCTGCCCCGGAGGAGCGACAATGCGATGAACTGGCGACGGACCGGTTGGAACGGATCGCCAAGATCCCAACGACACCTGGAATCACCTGGATCCTGGATGTATGATGAATATTGATGAATATTGATGAATATTGATGAATATTGATGAATATTGATGAATATTGATGAATATTGATGAATATTGATGAGTTGATGATGTTGCAGTAAATTTGCTTTTGGCCATAGCATGCACTAGCGAATCGGACATAGCATGCTAGATTTGGCAACAAAACAGGCCGGCTTTGACTCGTGCGCGAGTCCCAAATAATCAGATCTCCAGGCTCTGGCGTGTACCTTGACCAGGCTCGACATGTTCGTCACATGTTCGTCACATTACAATGTTGATCTGTCAGGCTCAAACCAGTCCTCTTAGTCCTCGTGCCGAAAGCATGGCAATTTCAGCTGTCGTCATCATCATCATCATCATCATCATCATCATCATCCTCATCGTCATCGTCATCATCATCGTCACCGTCACCGTCACCGTCACCGTCACCGCTACTATCACCGTGATTGCTATTATCATCATTGTTACTAGTGTTCTATGTCTAATATATACGTATAATTTAATTATATAATGTTGTTATTTGTATGTTAGTGTATTTTATGGAACGAGTGACATCTTTGATGCGACTGGGTACTGTATGGCAATCAACAGCCATGGATCTGACAGTCGAGCCTGGTCTTCCTTGGGAAAGTGTCCAGGTCACCATCCTCCAAAGCAATTTGTGCGACGGCACTACGTGGATGCTTAAGACTGCTCATCTCTACGTCCAAATACACATGTATATTATATTATATATATATATATATGTGTGTTAAATAATGTTTGTATATCATAATATATTATCATAATATATATATATATATATCCCAATTTAATAATATATTAATATGTATGTAATATGTATATATATATATAACATTTAATCACATATATAAACGGATTCTACATTGTTGATTTGCATTTAACGTTTGCCGTCTCCTACAGAAGTCTTGGGCAATGCCAATCCACTGAGGAGAGACAAAATTCCAGAAACTCAAGCGCTGCCCTTCCTCGAGGTTAACAAAAACCTGGCCACATCGCAGGTGGCCAAGGCAGCTGGATGATCAAACTGCTTGAAACATCGCAGCGGACAACAACTGTCTAAAACACCCCGCAAGGCGATCAAGAAGTCGGATTGACTGCGTCACTGCTCACAGACCTCGACAAAGTGAAGCACTTCTTGAGAAAATCGAAACATGAATTCCTGAAATTCTATTTCAGACTTTCGCAATGTAGAGATTCCAACGATATCCCTGGGTCACAGTGACCAAAAGAATCCAAAAGACAACTGCCCGTGAATCGCTCTCAGATGCCTTCGAAACGCCGTCAGTTTAGATTGGGCCAAACTGACCAGCAATTGAGCTGCCAGGCTCGTTGCGGTGAGAGCCAAGTAGGTATTCTGGAGCTCCGAAACCATCCTGGCGATCCATGTCCAACAGAAAACCTTGGACACATTGGAACCGTTGGAAATGGAACTACGATACGCCACGATGGAACCGTGGAATGATGTAGAATGACCCTCCTTGGCTCAGTGAAACTGGAAACTGGAGTGAAACCCACCTGGCCGCAAGCATCCATTGCAACCCACCTGAGGACATCTGTGAAATCATGGCCAAATAGTAGGGATCGTCTAGGAAAATTAGGCCAAAAGCACCCAAAGGCCTAAGAACATCTGTCCGTGGCTTCGGCGTTTCAGGATTTCAGAACTCAATGAGGCCCTGGCCAGCGGATTGCATCCTTGAACTGAATCGGGCCATTCTGGTTGTCCTGCCATGGACTTCTTCTTTTTCAGCTCCCTCTTGTCATCTCCTGTCCCTGTCCTATTTTTGTTCCCAAAACCTTCAAACTGCTCCGTGTCCGACCGTGTCCTGATGCCAACCAAAGCCACGATTGGGGTTCACCAGCAGCATGTCCTTGGGACTTGGGATGGGAACAAACTTCGGTCGCGACTCCGTTTCAAAGGCAAAGGAATGCACAGGATCCCATGGTCCAAAGTACAAAGGGCCCCGGCCGTAGAGCAACGAACTTCCTCCGTTCGGCCCAACCTTGGGATAAAACACAACATGATGTAACATGTGAAAAAGCAGCAACAAAAACCATTAGGTCGCGATTAACTATGCAAACCCAAGGCTAAGTTGAGGAAGCTGAATTGCCCGGATGGTCTGATTCAAGACTGTTGCCACAGAAACGACTGCGGGTACGCCGCACCCTCTGGCTGGCCAACAACATCCACAACAGCGCATGGAAAACTATTTGTGAACAATGCCACATCTACTGAATTAGTTGGCGACCGATGAGTCAAAAAATACAGCTACGTATAAATAAAGATCCTAAAATGGTGGACTGTTTCTGTGCCCCCAGAGCTTATTAAATTCAAATCTTGTGCTGCTTGATCCATTCAATACCGTAGCTCCTATAGCTGATAAAGTTAACTTTTCAAGATCCAACAAAATGATACAAAATGTACATCACACTCCACACTGCACCAAAGGGTGCAGATTTTTGATGCTCGCCTCGCCATAACGTCAGCGGGTTAATTGGATGGAAATCATTGCTAAGAACTGAGCAAAACAGTGACCTGGCAGTGCCCCCATCAACGAACATCAGTGAATTGTCCCATTTGAATCCATCTGAAGAATAGATAATGTAGAAAATGCGAAGAGAAACAGCTATTTTGACCAACCTTTGTAGCGCACTGGCTGGTTTGTCTTGTGGTGTCTACCATGTCAAATGCAAATCGCATCTGTAGCTCACTTCTTCGCTTCAGTACCCTTGGTACCGGCTCAACCAGTCAGAGACTTCTTCCTTAGTGTCCCAAGGTCCGACTCATGGTATACCAATGACTCGCGACAGTGTCACCATGGAAGTTTCAGACATCTGCAGATATCTGTTGCGCCAAGGATCTTTGGACTGTCGCTCCGTGGAGCACATGACGTTAACATCGCCTCTACAGCGCTCAGCTGTGCCAAGGCTTCCTCGAAGGTGTTGTCGATCGCCAACGAGACCTTGCTATGTCCAGCGTACAGCATCTCATTCACATGTTCTCCTCACAGCAAATCCCGGCAACGTGTAGTGACTGGAATTTCTTCAACTGCGGTGAGAATTGCACAAAAAACGAATCTGCCTAATCTGCCTGGGACTGTATAGTAGAACCTGAAGTCAGGTCCACCCTGAGATAATTTGAGAATAACATGCTAACATTCCCTAAGATACCCTACATATCCATAGCATCCAAGTGCATCCAAGTGTATCCAAATCCAGACCTCGGATATTTTTGCAACCATCGTCCTGGATTTCGCAGCAAGGCCAATTCACGTCGCAACTCTTCGACTTCTTCCTCTTTGGCTTTCAAGACCTGCTCCTCACACGTCACAGGGCAAAGCATCCGCATCTGGTAGCTACAAGAATCAGCATGGGCAGCGTATCACAGCAACACACAGCGATTGTACTTACAAATCTCTCTTACAGCAGTGTCCTTCAACTGCAGCATTCGCTTCACTTGTCCCAGTTCCTGCAGAGCCGGGACAAAAGCAATACGGAGGTAAAGTTACATTGTGAGAGCAATGGATAGTTAAAAAAACCAGGAAAGTAGTCTTTCTCATTGCGACAATTCGAAGACTCCTCTGCGATCTGGAAATAAGCAATTGACATAACAGACTCATGTCAGAAGAGTACAAGGCCTTCAATGGTGTGAAAGTCGGCCTTGCAGTAAAGATAGTAAAGGTCATGTGGAACCAATTTGTTTGCCACAGGATATTCAAACGTTTCACCTTCGAAGTAAAAACAACAAAACCATGAGGCGGCCAAAAGGCTCTGAATTTGAAAGGATACCCGGCCAATTGCCATGGCCCGCCACAGTATCCGGGATGAACTTCTGATCCGAATATCTCCGAATTCCGTGCAAAATCCCAGAGTTGATGTTGGTTGATCAGCATTTGATCACCATTTTCCACACATTTCCCATGAAACGTACGCCGTTTTTTGGCAGAGCCGCATCCCGCCTTCTGCAGTTCTTGCACTTGCTCCAGATGCTCGGCACCTTCCAGGCCTGGTCCACTGGTCCAGCAAAACTCAGTGACATTGACGTGGGAATATGTAAACATGTTAATATATATATATATATTATTGATATCATGTATATTCATGTATATGTATTATATACAGTCTACACAATAATACTACTGTCTAATACAGTCTATATACATTATGGAAAAATCATGGTACTCCCATTGGAGTTTTGAATATTTTGCAATAGGAGTCCCCCATTTTCAGTCAAACCATTGCAAACATTGAGATGTCTCTGCCTGGCAGAACCATGCAGGGAGAATAAAGGCTCTGCCGGATCCGCTTCTCCGTAGCCGACCTGCGGATGTGTTCAGCCCCCAGGCGTCACTGAGAAAAACAGCTGGCCATGGCCGCCAGGCCTCTTTTCTCTCATCTCTTCCATCCTGTGCAGAGGTGATTTCAATCATGTGAAGCACACTCCAATTACACACCTAGCTCGGTGTTTCAACACTAAAGATCCCGCAAGAATCTCAGTGATTGAACAAAGACAGCTGTTTGAAGTCACAAGTCATCACAAGTCTTCCATCAAGTCTCTGTCACAAGATTCAGTTACAGTTCGTCCCACTGCCGTCATTGAATTATAAATCCTGGATAAATCCTGGTCAACAGTTGATACCAGTTGATATTAGGTGATATTCATCCAATTTCTCCAAGGTGCTGCGCCGTGGTGAAATCGGCTTCTCCCGAAGTGATGAGGACCTGTGACAAAGCGTACAACTGCCACAGCTGCTGCTTCCACATGTTTCCACGTTCCACCTCTGCACTGCAAACGTTGGGTTGAACGAAGACGAAGTAGCAAGGGCCTCGCAAATTCGGAGTTCGGACAGCTTGCCAAAATAATAAGTTCGAATAAGCCAATTCAATTGAGTTCGGATAGATAGTTGTGGTCACGTTGTGCTATGTTTTGCTGCCGTCGAGGCTCCGAAGATCAATCGATCAGCATGCACCAGAACAAAGCCGTCATCCACACGAGTGCGGGGACATTTCTTGGCGTCCTGCGCTGTTTGGACAGCCGCAATAAGAATTGGACAACACGTGTACCGACTATAATTGCTGTGTTCTGATGTTGTCTTCACTCATCAAAATATGTTTAGTTTACAAAAGTGTATCAAACTAAATGACATACAGCAGTAGCAGCAAGGCTCGGCAGGTCTTGGCAACCTCCCAACATCTCCCAACATTGGCAAGGCTTGTGGCCAGTCCATCTCCAACATCCGGTCCAAAGGCATGCCGTTGAGGCAAGTGGCCTGGGCATTTGAAACCAGCGGCACCATGCGGCACCATGGAGCTGTCGATAAAACAACATCTCCCAACGTTGACGTTGACGTTTGGACTCCTTTGGGTCTTGATCTTCAAGAACAGCCACATTTCCACCTCCCATACATGATCATAATATATCAGAATCACATCCTTTTATAAATATATATATACATTGTGTCATATTTATGTCCGTCAGTGTCCATGCCCACCACAAAATCCGCGCCTTGGCGGCTTCAGGGCTGAGAGCCGTCAAAATGCACTCAGCAGAGGTGTTCTCCACAGAGGCATGGAGCCTTTGGATCCCAGAGCCCAGCATGTTGATGTCTGGCACCGGTAAGTCATCAGATTCCTGCAGAACGACGGATTTCCATGGTAAGTATGTAAGTATGGTAAGATTGGTAAGTATTCCAAACATATTCCAATTGCTAGTCATGGAAGCGGTTTAAGCTGCAAACGATTTCAAGTTTACAATGAAGGTGTCCTTATCGCTGCCACCTTCGGCATCGCTTTCCTGAGCTGTCACAATGGCTGGCTTTCTAGCTTCTGAGAACTATCAAGGCCTTTTAGGCCTCAAACATCAGTTCCATCAGTTCCTTAACATCAACAGATCCAAGAATTGAAACGAACAGCATTACAAAATATTACAAATACCGTTCTGTCAATTTCTGTCCAGTTATTCTGCTAATTCTTTCGAGATGCCTCCGTCTCTGTCTCCGAGTCGGATTCATCCTGCTTCTGGCAGCCAATCACAGTTTTGCCCGCAGGAAAGTAGTGCTTCACCTACAGCGTACATTGCATGGTCTTCCAAGGTATCAGGCGGCATGAACAGTTGCTCCTATCATCTCACCTTTTGAGGATGGCTCAAACTTAGCAGCCAACTTTTGGTAACAAACCCATTCAAGTTTCTGGGTCAATTGAAAACATACCCATCTCTGGTCCACAATTTCACCAGCCAAGGGTCTCGTCCTTGCAGCTGTGGATCTTGGTTCAAATTCACAATCATCGGAACCATCGGATTCACAACGGTTCCTCGCGTTGGCACAGAAAGCTGTAATCAACGACCCACTTCGCAGCTGCTTTGGCTTCAAGAATGGGGATCCAAACCAGGGCCAAATCATCAAGACTGACCACATCCGCCAAATTTTAATTGATACAAAAATCAGTGGTCCACAAGACATGGCTGGCATGGGTCCTCTTCTCCGAAGTTCACCCTGTCTCTGTCGGTCCTGAAGCATCAGTGATAGCTGCTGAAATCCTGGGACCTGTCCCTCAACGTCTTTCCTGAGAGGGGTAACTCCACTGTCTGCCCTTCAAATCATATCAACATGTCTCTGATCCTTATTTGTTTAATACAAAGGGGTGGAGGCCAAGCAAGCGGAATGGTACAATAAGGAAACCGAACCAAGACCTGCCACATCCAGCACTTGGAGCCTCCTCAAGTTTTTCTTGGAAGGTCTTCTGCATGTCCTGGTAATGAAAATGCATACGCAAGGGATTTCCAGGTACTCTGACATTGCAAGCTAATGAAACATCTTAACATCATCAAACATCCTAATTGGGAACAGGGTGGGAGGTATACAATGAATCAGCGCGGAATGGTCACAATGAATCAGGCCTTCAAAGCTGCTTCGGCCTCTGCAATCTCTCGCTGCCTAAGTGTCGCTGATGGCCAAGGTCGCAGGTCCCAAAGTTCAAAAAAACTCTGAGGATGTACGGTAATTGGCATTCTATCAATATACAACTTTTTAGTTATCGAAGGAAGTTTAGAAGTCAAACTTCCGACAATATGGAGAGATGAAAAGCAGAGCCGGGAAGAGGCAGAGAGAAGAGAAAGATTAGAAGAAAGAAGAGTAGAAGAGAAAGAGTAAGAAGGCAGAAGACGCAGATGCGCGAAAAGGTAGGAAAGTCGCGAAACACTGTGTTTTTCCAATGATTTGTGGCTCCGGAGGGTCGAAAAGTAGGCTCGCTAAAGCGGCGGGTGCGGAGCCAGCTGGCCAGAGGAGAGATGAAAAATTGCACGCAGTTGTGGCGCGAAGCACATTTCGAAGTCAAAATGTACAAAACACACCAGGTTCGGACCACTTTTGGAAGTTGACATGTCGAAAAATTGCACGCCGTTGTGGCGCGAAGCACATTTCGAAGTCAAAATGTACAAAACACACCATTCTCGGACCACTTTTGGAAATTAAGATTTCGAAAAAGTGCACGCCGTTGTGGCGCGAAGCGCATTTCGAAGTCAAAATGTACAAAACACACCAGGTTCGGACCACTTTTGGAAGTTGAGATGTCGAAAAAGTGCACGCCGTTGTGGCGCGAAGCACATTTCCAAGTCAAAATGTACAAAACACCTCAGCGTCGGACCACTTTTTGAAGTTGAGATGTCGAAAAAGTGCACGCCGTTGTGGCGCGAAGCACATTTCCAAGTCAAAAGTGTTAAAAACTGACGGTCTCGGACCACTTTTGGAGGTTCAGATGTCGAAAAAGTGCACGCCGTTGTGGCGCGAAGCACATTTCGAAGTGAAAATGTACAAAACACTAGGGGATCGGTCCACTTTTGGAGGTTCCGATGTCGCTTCGCCGCTTCGCTTCACTACACTACACTACGTTACATTACACCACACTCCACTATACTACACTACATTACACTACACTACACTCCACAACACTACAACTACAACTACACAACTAGACTACACTCCACTACATTAATTTTCACTACACTACATTACACTACACTACGCTCCACTACACTACACTACATTAAATTACACTACACTCCACTACACTACATTACACTACACTACGCTCCACAACACTACAACTACAACTACACAACTACACAACTACACCCCACTACACTCCACTACACTAAATTACACTCCACTACACTACATTACCCTACACTACACTCCACTACACTACACTACACTCCACTACACTACATTACACTACACTTACACTACACTACACTACAACTACAACAACTACAACTACGACTACACAACACACTCCACTACACGAAATTGCACTACACTACACTACATTACACTACACTACAATACACTGAATGACACTGCACCACAGATAGACAGGTAGACAGGTAGACAGATAGACAGATAGATAGATAGATAGATAGACATACATAGATAGATAGATAGATAGATCGATAGATAGATAGATAGATAGATAGATAGATCATAGATACATAGAAAATAGATAGGTAGGTAGGTAGATAGTCAGAGAAAGAGATAGAAAGAGTGAGAGAGATCAAGCACCTTTCAGTCCATCAGTGGCTTCGCTCTGCCATCCCTGATTCACAACAACCAACCTCTCCTATAGGTTTCCTATTTTTGAAACTTCCGCCACCGCCTTGTGCGGTACTACTGGTAAATATTATATTAATATATAATTATATATATATATTATATATACGTATATTATTGTATATTTACATGTACACCGCATATCGTACAATAATATACATATGGTAATCTACTACATAGTTACAACACGGGTCATCACATCAACATCTCCTCATCACCATGGATGGAGATTGAGGACTCCAATGCACCGGGTTTCCGGGCTTGCGGCCCAAATCCTCAAAGGTCTGGGCATCCACTGTGCGTCCAGCACCCAGGGATTGAATCATCTCTTTCAGCTTCTGATTTTCTTCCTCAGAGCCCAAAGATAGCCCAAGTATAGCAGGGGCCCAAGGATAGCCGTTGCCAATAGAATGGACCTTGTCCTCCAACTGTGATTGAAACAGGTGAAAACAGTTGAAACAGTTTTGGAACTTCCATGGCATTGCTATTCCCCTCATGGCATCCAAGAAGCCAAAAGCTCCCGCATCAGCTTTTCCTGGAGTCGTTTCAGTACCGTTGGAACATGTTGGAACCTATGAATTCTCCAGTCTTTGCCAATTTGCGTTTTGGGAAAGATGCAAAGTGCGGCATATGCCCCGATTGCCCATAGGTCCCTCAGGTACAATGTGCACAGCATGCGTTTGATCCCATATCATGGCATTGATTTTGAACCAGATTTCGAAAGTTTTCGGGTTTTTCTATCGCTGTTCATCAAATGACAGGTCCTGAGGGTTCTCATTGACAACGGCTTTGTTTTTGATCCTTGGTAACTCTCACCGAGCTGATGCTGAAAATCCGCTCAATCCCCTCACCCCGACATAAATCACACCCTGTGAGTACGACACCATTGAGAAAATTGGTGGGCCAATGTCTGTGGGCCAATGTGGGCCAATAGCATTAATTACTATAGCCAATAATAGCCAATGAATGCCAATGATGCTTTTCTGAAAGCCAAAGTTCTTCTTGGCTCTGTCTGCATATCGCAAGGTGGACAAGGTCTCTTCATAGTTCGAGGAAGCTGGTGACAATGCGCAAATCATGATGGTCTTGCTTGAACCGCCTGAGAATCAGTCTTGGTGTTCTCACCTGTGATCTTTGTGAAGTGTTGCTATAGTTACATGTAGTTACACAGTTGTTCCTTTTGCCTATGATGAAATTTGACATTTTATATATTTTTATATCTTGTGTGCTGAGAATGCGGATGCTTCTCATGCAAACCGTTGTTCCATGTTGTTCCTGCCTAGTGCATTCTGCAGCAGTCGGGTGAGTTTGGACTCACGGTATGGAACAAGAACCGCCTGCCGGCTGTTTCGCACGCAAACCGATGTCGCTGTTTGTTTTTCTGCGGTTCAAAATTTTCAAATCTGCACAGCAAAAGTGCACCAGACAATCATAGCCAGACATAGCCAGACTGAATTTCTGCCGCCTTCTTTGGATTTGTCGATTTCTCTGCCAGCTTTTCGATGCAATTTCCCAAGGTGCTCCTTAGCATCAAGCAGCAATGACCATCAGTCAGAGTAGTTCATTGGATCCAAATGCTGACCAACCTGGTCTGAGGAGCAAAGATTTATTGATCATCGCACCTTCCTTCATGCGTTCTCCCTCAGCCCCGGTCTGCTTCACCTGACGGTCAGATCATGTCGTGACATATATGACATGGTCATGGCTGGCTTCACGGAGTTCAGTTCATCATTCAGCATCAATGCCACTGCCATGTTTCACATCTCGCAACAGAAGTCCCATGAAGTCCCTATGGCATATATGGCCTTCTCACTTCCTGCCAGATCCACCAAGTTGATCATCGACACCCGCGTAGAGCCTTTGGGTCAACTCGAAACTTGCTGAGCTGATGGAAAGTCATGACATGGACAGCCATCTACTTCAATGTCTCTGTTTGTTCTGCCCTCAGGAACTAAACACGAGGTAACAAATTGTGACAAATGGAAAGAAAACGCCTGCATCACCTCTGCTTACAAAATGTAAGAATCTCTCAGCTCTCTACATGCCGTCACAGTCTTGAATTCAATGATCAGAACCGTGTGTGCCCTACTGGATGTCGCATTCCTTGGCATTTCCGGCAGGCTATGGCAGGCTCAACAGTGGTACCAAACTGTGGTAAAGATGTTCCATGTTGCTGCAAAGCCATACTATGTTTCTGGGAAAAAGGTGTCTAAATGTTTCTGGAAACCGTTGAACAGTGTGCACAACAAGAGTTCACAACTGTACTAGCGTTATCTCAGAGTACTTCTGGATGACGTCTTTGGGAATGATCTAAATCATGCCTTTCCCATCCAGTGTGTATCTTCACAAACTGCGGTATTCTATCCAAAATGTGTGTCTTGTCATGAGCTCGCTTTTCGAGAAAGCGTGTGTTGAGTTCTAGGGCACTAAACTCCTGTACAGAATCCCACATGATCTCTCTGCAAATGGACATTCGCCGGGAGACATCAATGTAGAACCCACAGTCCGATTGGCAGTGGCCTCCTTGAAGAGAGATCTGCGATACCAAAACGCACCATGCTGAAATTGGATAAGACATGATTTCAGAACTGACAAGAAATGATGAGAAAGGATACGAAAGGATAAAAAGGATAAAACAGGATTGAAAAAAGGAGAAGGAGAACATCTATCATGTCAATTCATGTCATGTATGTGCCTTTGGTGTTGAGAATTTGAATGCACTGGCATCCACAGATATCCACAGTCTCATGGCTTGGAGAGCTACAGCTTCTGCGGCAGCTTTGAACCATGGGAGTTCGCATTTCAACCTCGGTGTCCTCAATGGTGTCGTGAATGGCCTTGTAGCAATCTACCGGCCTTCCGGGCACTGCATGGCACTGCATAAATGCAGTGATTCCCCCACGGCTTCAGCTTAAATCGCTGCATGAGCCGTGCCTCTTCGTTATGCCATCGATATAAACACCTGCGATCGCTAGAATTGCTTCCTTGCTGCTTGCAGTTGTTTTTCTTTTAATGGACAAACAAACATTTTCAGGGTCTGGTGAAAATCACAGCAGAAGGCATGAACAAGAAATTTGAGCAGAATATTCAGAATATGTCAGAATGGAACTCTTGAGAAAAATCTGCTTGCCAGGCTTGGTTTCAAACTCTAACGGACTGGCATCATTCCTTTGTATTCCTTTGCGCCATGGCATGTTGCAGATCGAGAATCTCGACAGGTCCCAGCCTAAAATCTTGGACTCTCTGATCTCCAAGCCTTTTCTCGGTCGCTGTTCCACAGGAATAAGAAGGTCCTGGAGGTCTCGAGGCAACCACATCAACCACATCTTGGCAAACTGTTTAACCTGAAATATTGATAAATATTGTCCAATTTGCTTAAAATTCCTTGAACAAGAAGCCCTTTTTGGCTGAGATGGTGAAGATCATTCCACATGTGTTCACTGTGTTCACTATCTTGCAGCCTTCACGATGCCTCCATAATTTACAGTAATTGCAGTGCAGTGCTCTCTCCAACGTGTCCTGCACGGCTTCATTGTAAATCTCAATCGCAGACACCAGCACCTCGCAGCAAGTCACAACTTCCCAGTGCGGTAAGTACCTGACGACCAATCAGCGGTACCTGACGACCAATCAGCGACCAATCCTGGCCTCATAGCTGTTCCCACCATCATCATTGGCAATCCTACGGAAGATCTCTTCGCAGGAGATGGGAACAATGCCTTTGTTGTTGCCGTAGCCAACCATCGAATAGCTCTTGCCAGAACCTACCATATGCAGCTACGCATGCAGCTACTGCATTTGCGCGGTCAATATGTCTCACAAGTCAAGTAAACAAGTGGTCTACAAGGAGTTGTACAGGTTTTACTGTAGCTTTTACATGTTTTTTGTTTGCTTTTACAGTTTTGCCAAGTTTTGCCTCATTTGCAGGAGCTTTGCGGGACAATCCTGGCAAAACACAGGCATTCATTCTTTGACAAGGATTGCGCCCACCTGTTTGGCCGTAAGCAAAGAGGCAGCAGTGGTAGCCATTCCAAGCATTGTCCAACACTCGCTTGCCAAAAGTATCGAAGACATACTTCTGATCCTTAGTGTTTTGTTTGTTTTGTTTGGTTCTCATGTCAACATGCCTTCTGTGGAAATCAGCAAGGTTCACCCTACTTCAGCACATTTGGAATGTGCTAATGGTGTGACTTAGCCCCGCTCCACATAGCTACTTCCACGTTTGGGCCTCAAACGCGGAAAACTCCAAAGGTCAAATAGAAATGGCTGCGTTTCTGTAGGGGCAACCAAGAACAGAGCTTTCTTTGAATTTTTTGAAGGATAAACTGCTTACAACATCTTATAACTGTGTGATTGCAGAGTGATCAAAGATCAACAAACGTTCTCCAGTGCCTGAGATATCCAGTACCATCATCTTCATATCCGTCATGACTCCAGAAGGATTCGTCGAAGGTAAACATGGTGTCTTTCCCCATACCTCACAGTGCCGTACTTTGCTATTTGCTGCGATCAAAAAAAAACATCCCATCATTCCCATCATGAAAGGCTGCATTCGAAGATGAAACAAACACTGCAAAATACTCCATATTGGCATGGCTTCTGTCTTGAGCCGCTCTTGAGCAGCTGGAGCCTCTCTGAAATTCATCTGAGAAGCTGTCGAAAATCGATGTAGACTTTTGACTCATGCTGATGCACAACATCGAGTTGTTCTGAATCTCCTTAGCACAACTGTCCAATCGCGCCAGGTCTCAATGGTCTCAATGTCTCTGAAAAACGTGAAAACCAAACTTTCCGACTGCGCCAAGCAGCTCGTTCCTGGAACGGTCGAACCCGCACCCCGACCACGACTGCTTCTGCCTCCATCATGGCCTCGGGCAGAACAGAAAAAATCATGAAACTTCTACGGTAAATGTGCTGGAAATCCTTGAAAGACCTGGATTGACATTGTTCATCCACCCAAGCTGTGCCTTTCAAAGAAGCTGCAGGTGTCATAAAGTCATGGCAACAAATGGGTTCAGCCGGGTTCAGCTTCAAAGGCTGTTCTAGGTCGATGTCTTCTGGGCCACTGGGCGGGCTGTGTCACATGGTGTAAGATCATGGTAAAATAATGCGAAACAAATCACAACTGGAGAAAAAACGGGAAGATGTACTTTGGGTGAATCAAAATCAAACAACCTAAATGGACCTAAACACTCTCAAAATCTAAGATCCATTGCCAAGTGCGAGCTGAAGCTGCTAGCTTTCTTCAAAAGCTTGAGCAGCTGGCGGGAAATGCGAAACAGGAAGTTGGACTGCCATGGTGAAACATCCAAGGTCCAAAGGATTTATCCGGTGAAGAACTCCATGGTGAAACCACCATTTTTCTGGCATACTGACAACATTGTCTCAGCAACGGCGTTGCTGCTTGAGGTAGACATCCAACATGGCCAGTTCGAAAGCATCTCCAACTGTTTCCTGGAGCACCGCTGCAGTGCTTTCTTTCCTTCAAAATCATCAAACCATCTGAGGTATGATAATTATGTTAAAAAATGTTAAAAACATATTCTATGATAATTTCTGAGCATCAACCCCTCTGTTGATCCTGTTGCCTGTCCTCGTCGTTCCACATGAAAGCCTTCCGAATTTTGAAGACTTTCTCCCTCATTTCCTCCAACCGCTTTGGGTCGTCCAAGTAGCCCTTGAGAATCTGCCCGGCCTCAAAGAGATGCCAGGAAATACCAAGGGATTCTTGAAATCAAAAGGAAACCCATTGGTATTTTGCCTTTCTTGCTATTGAAAATCACTTGATATCACTTGATATCACTTGATCTGTCTTGAAATTTGCTCGCAATGGAAAGTCCACTTAGAAGATTGGAGTCATTTTGAGTTTCAAGACATTCAGATGATGAGCTGAAGTGGCCCGCCTTGTGAGCATCTTTGTCTTCAATGAAGATTGAAAAGTCTCTCCAGTCGAAGAAACAAGACGCGGGCAGGTGATACCTGGATCCGGTGCTAAGGCTTTTTCTGATGAAACTGGTGCTTGATTTTCCTTCCGCTTGACATGTCTTTCATAGGGGTTCCTCTAATTGATTGTAGTAATTGATTGCCATCACCTCTCCATAACCATGTAGAAACCCAATTTAAGTATCAATCATCAAAGGTCATATTGGGCACGGCAGACCTGATTTCATTGTCAGTCAGCAGCCTACAGGTGAGCCAGATTGAATGTAGCCAAGCTGCCCTGAAGAAATAATCACCTCAAGTCTTGCTGGCCGACACCAAAGCTGTGGTTCCGAGTTTCATCATATCTGTTTCATATCAGTGATAACAAATATTATAGCAGATACGATGTATATTCATGTATATTCTTCAAAAACTGAACGTCCCAGCCGACGAAGGACGCAGTTTCCACAAGAACTCACCGATTTCAGAAACATCGAAATCGCCGTCCCATCTCCAGATATCTCCAGATATCTCCAGATCAGCAATTTGCAGCAAGGCACTGGGATGCAGCCAAACCAAATCATCTCGAAAAGGCGTGGGCTCCAGACACGTGAACCCCGTGGTGCCAGACACAACTCTGAATCTGCCAGGCCTTTTTCGTAGGCCTGGCCATGTCCGTGTGATGGTTTCACATGCTGCATATGTGCAGATTGTACGTATAATTTATAGGCAGGGTATATGATTAAACATGATTACTGTAAACTGTATGTGGGCACTTCTTTGGCAAAAACGACGCTTCGACTTTGGACTTCTAGCCTCAAATTCCTGCCTATAGTATCAATATTGGGGGCCTGTTACTCTTGTACTATCGATCAGACATAACACATACAGACATTTCACAGACACAGATAACAAACACAACCAAAGGATCATGCCAAATGCACACACTTCAACCTGTGCCTCGGGCTTGATTTTCCGATTGAAACTCGTTGGTTTCTGCAGTTTTGCTTTCTCAATGCTCCTGGAATGCAGGAACAATCGCACTGTCAGGATGGTGTACTTTGCAAAAAATCAGAGTTTGATCTCAGTGAACGGGAAAGGGTTTTAGCCTCCAACAATAATCCAAGTTGGAGCTAGGACTCACAGATACTCACAGTACACAGGAAAAACCTTTCCAGGTGATCCATGGTGATCTAGTGATCCTCCTATTCATCCTTATATTCATCCAATATTCATCCACTTCCCTCATTTCTCTGTCCTGATGGCGATGAAGCGCACGGGGATGTAGTTCTCGTCCCATCGTCCAGCGAAGAACACGGAATATCGACGCGGCCGTTTTGGCTTCACCTGTGATCATCCGTGAACCATGATGCCATTGATATATATATATATATATAATTATATATAATTATATATAATAATAAATATAATGTATATATATATATATATTGATATGTCATTGCATGAGTCTGCGCTACAAGAGAAAAAAACTTTCGCAAACACTCCTTGCTCGAGTTCAATGCTTGTTGCTGGAATGTCTTGGTAAAATCAACCAATAAAGTATCCAAATCTAGTGGCCTGTAACACAATCATATATGGATATTTCGCACACTTCAAACATGTCATGCATTTCATGTCCCGAAGTTTGCTTGATCTGAGTCACTGAGCGACTTCGGGAGGCCAAGGGCATGTCCCCATTGCAAACCAGGGAGACGTCCATGGAGCTGTTGAAACCATACCTAAGCAGAATGCGGAAGGATTCTTGGAAGTTTCAACTCTACTATCATCTACTATCTATTTTATCTATTTTATCTATGGATCTGTTGAAATCATGGGAGATGGCAACTATAGTGGTCAGCTCCGTCGAATGAGTCAAACAATATCTTGCAACTGCACCTTAGAATTGGTACAACTCGCACTTCAGTTTGCTGGAGATGCGGAATGCAAGGGTTGGGACCCCCGCATTGTCTACAGCATCCTCTAAACCTTTCCATTGGATCTGATCGGTAAACGCTACATACAAGTGCTTGTACATGGGACCACAACACAATGATGAGGATAACGACTATCTTTTTCATCTTGCAAAAACCATAGTCACAAAAAGGGAACCACTAAAGAGGGGAAACTCCCAACAGAAGGGGAATTATTGTTCAAAGAAATGCCCCCCAAAGGGGAATCCACTGACTAAAAAGAGTAGAATCTACCGAATCAGAAATCACGAAGAGGGGAAGGATATGGAAGGATAAAGACCAGGATACCCTCTGGTAATTTAAAATAGCTATTGAAAATGACCATTTATAGTGGATTTACCCATTGAAAATGGTGATTTTCCATAGTTATGTTAGTTTGCCAGAGGGTATTTTCAATGAAGTTTTCAGGCCAAGGGACTCCCCAGGCTTCCCATCCCTCTGCATTTCCAGGTCATCTGCTGTGTTGGCCAAGACGGTACCTGGGTGCGACACGCGTGACGTGAGATTCAAAGAAATCATCCAAATCACACATGGCAAAAGCAAAAACATGAAGAAAGTTCCTGGAAGCTGGAACGTGTTCTTTGCTTCTCTCAAACATAAATGCTGCATCTCTGAAAATCTCTGAAAATCTTGAAGAGTTGAAATTCCCTTCGTCAGTGGAGCACCGTTTTTCGCCAACATCTCCGTGATGTCCATCGAGCTTTGGCTGCAGTCCTTGGCGTCACACCACGCCAGGAGCGGTTCTGCTTTGCCCATGTCCTTGGGAGTTGTGGATGGTGAGGGGCGTGACCATGTACTACATATGTTTTATACTGTATAGTATACTTATATATTATATATCCATAGTATACTTATTGTATTAATATATTCTATAATATATCGCATATATTATATCTATATACCGTATATACAATTATATATCCATTGGAATCCATATATATATAATGTAATCATGAGAATCGGCAGCAAAAGAACTCAGTCAAGATCTCCTTTTGGGACAAGCCACATGAGCTGAGATCCAAATGTGTTTTTTCCCGACATACCTGCACTGCAGGTCTCTAGGTTTCCATGAACTTGTATTCTGCGATAGAAACAACAACAAACACGCATACAGGATCGGCACCAGCATCGTTCGGTGCCTTTGATGTTGTGCACATGTTTACCTCCTTAAGTGCAGAAAAATCCAATAGAGCGGATTGGCAAGATATGAGAAATCATTTCGTGGTGCATGCAATTCTTCAAAGAAACAACAACTCAAAAGCCAAATCCCACCTTTGCAAAAAGGGCAACTTGGTCACATCCTTCAGCATTTGCTGGATCCGCTTTCCAGCTGATTCACCTCCTTCTCGACGCGTCGTACCCTTCGCATGGAAAACGCTCTGCAAAATTCACCGCTCACACTTCTCGCACATCTTCTGGTATGACTACAGCAATTTTCATTTCTGGAAGAATGGCTGGAGTGAGAATTCCAAGCTCTGTGTCATAGTGATGCATAGCGTGCTTGGGCAAGACACCTGTGACCGCCAGCAACTGGTGAAGGTCGGAATGTAAAAAATGGTGGCTCTTTCCGGGTCCAAAACCTGCACAGCAAGAAAGTGATCGACCTGACGTGGTGGTCCTTGTTCTTGGGGATCTCTAAAGATCGATGTGGGAACAACATGTAACAATCTTTGTACATCTTTGTACTGTTCAGTGTCACTCGTTCAAAGAAAAAACAGCTGAACTTACCAAGGAGCACCTAAAATGTGCAAACCACCCACTTCCTTCATGTCCATTTCATGTCCTATGGCACTTCTCATGTCTTCTCATGTCCTTTGTGGATCTTAATGGCACACCATGGCACACCAAGCAACCCGCATCGATGATGATCTGGCGCGGTCATAGAAATTCCACTCCACCATGTAACCGCGATTCGTGCCCTTCGGCCTGGCATATCTGGCATAGGTCGATTCAGATCATCCCCAATCAGTTGCCACAACTCCCCTCCCCGACCCATGACGTATCCAGATGTCATGTCTCGCCTTCGCTTGTCACAATGGAAGTCCACTGAATAGATGTACATCCGCAGCTCTTGGCGCATCTCCTGTAGTGATCTGAAACCTCTGAAACCTCTGAAACCCGAACACCACCATCACAGAACTAAATCAACTCCATCACCATCCATTCTAACATCAGCATTCTCTACATCATGATATACATATAATATATATATATATATTAATGATCTAACCAATTCTAATCATAATGTATTCATATAATCAAGTAGAAACATCCTCCAGTCACCTACCGGTGCTACATGGCGCCGCCTCCAAAAGTTTCTTCAGCTCTTCCTGACAGAACAAGTCTTCAGTCGCACCTGTGAACAAATGTATAATGTATATTATGTCTATATATACACATATATATATACCCCAGATGCCAGTTCTGATTCCTCCAAATGTCCTTTAAATGTCACGAAACATCCAAATACATCAAACTTCCCTGTGAATTCAGAGTGGCCTTGATAACCGCCTGGCCTCTGCGAAGCTCTCCAGACCATGTGGCGGCTTGTTGCCACCCGTCTGTGAACACCGGCAGAAGGCATCGCTCGAAGATGATGACGCCCTCAACGGTATGCGCAACAAAGTGAACAGAAGTGAACCATTATGATCTTCTCACACTATCTCACACTGTTCTTGACTTTTGGCTCTGCACATCTTGGCATCGCATATTGCATCATTCTAGAGTAAATAGTTAATTGTATTATACAATATAACAAATGTGTAAGTCAATATTAAATTATTAAATAACATGTTTTGGTATAGTCATAAAGGCTCCTAGTCAGTTTGCAAATTCCTGCAGCCGAGTGCTGCACGCATTGCCGGGAGAAGGCTCGACAATGGCGGCAGGTGTTGGCGAGGTTGCTACCACTCCAGGCTCACCAGTGTCAGCTGTGTCACCGGTGTCAGCTGTGAATGGCGCCTCTGACACCACACTTCCGGGATTGACGCTTGCCACTTCGCCTCAACCAAGCTGGGTCTTGTGGAAGGGGTTGCCGGACAAAATGGATTTGAATTCCTCAAGATCCTGCTTTCAAACACGGTTGTGATGGTACCAAGCTACAGTAGGTATTTAATGATATTTATACACATATATTCACCTGCCTGAATGAGTAAGCATGGCCCTGCAAATGCACTGGTTGCAAGAACCAGCCTGCTGATGCCTCCATCACATTCGCTACCTGTGCAAGTTTTCATCGGGTGCACATTCCAATTGTGAATCGCATGGACCAGTGACATCTTTAATGAATTTTAATGACATGTCAAGACGTGTCAAAACCAGCTGGTCTGCAGCATGTGCATTTCTAGAAATGCCAAAAGTGGTTCAAAGCCCCTTGGACAGGAGGGAATCTTTGCTAAGGTGCAACTTCACTTGGCGAAGCCTCTGCGTCATTCTCAACACGGACCTCAGCGTGCAGGGCCTCAAAACCATCAGATATCATCAGATATCATCAGATATCATCAGATATCATCAGATATCATCAGATATCATCAGATATCATCAGATATCATAATTCAGATATCATCAGATATCATCAGATATCATCAGATATCATCAGATATCATCAGATATCATCAGATATCATCAGATATCATCAGATATCATAATTCAGATATCATCATTCAGATATCATCAGATATCATCAGATATCATCAGATATCATCAGATATCATCAGATATCATCATTCAGATATCATCAGATATCATCAGATATCATAATTCAGATATCATCAGATATCATCAGATATCACCAGATATCATCAGATATCATCAGATATCATCAGATATCATAATTCAGATATCATCAGATATCATAATTCAGATATCATCAGATATCATCATTCAGATATCATCAGATATCATCCATCAGATATCATCAGATATCATCAGATATCATCAGATATCATCAGATATCATCAGATATCATCAGATATCATCAGATATCATCAGATATCATCAGATATCATCAGATATCATAATTCAGATATCATCAGATATCATCAGATATCATCAGATATCATCAGATATCATCAGATATCATCAGATATCATCAGATATCATCAGATATTATCAGATATCATCAGATATCATCAGATATCATCAGATATCATCAGATATCATCAGATATCATCAGATATCATCAGATATCATCAGATATCATCAGATATCATCAGATATCATCAGATATCATCAGATATCATCAGATATCATCAGATATCATCAGATATCATCAGATATCATAATTCAGATATCATCATTCAGATATCATCAGATATCATCAGATATCATCAGATATCATCAGATATCATCAGATATCATCATTCAGATATCATCAGATATCATCAGATATCATAATTCAGATATCATCAGATATCATCAGATATCACCAGATATCATCAGATATCATCAGATATCATCAGATATCATAATTCAGATATCATCAGATATCATAATTCAGATATCATCAGATATCATCATTCAGATATCATCAGATATCATCCATCAGATATCATCAGATATCATCAGATATCATCAGATATCATCAGATATCATCAGATATCATCAGATATCATCAGATATCATCAGATATCATCAGATATCATCAGATATCATAATGCAAATAAATCAATAACAAACACTCTCCCAAAATGGCAAGGAATCCCCTCAGTGGATCTGTATCTTTCTTTGACTTGCATCACTGCGTAACCCACCACTGATCCGCAGTCTCGTTGCCGGACTTCAACCCAAGACAGGATTTAAGAATGAAAGTAATTGAAATTAAACATATATGATTATATGATAATTATATGATGAATTCTGATTACAACATCTTACATGCCTCGAAGCATATCAACCCAGCTGTAAAACGGCACTGTTGTTTGTTGAGCCCCACACCTCTGCGTCTGTTGCCAGCATCATTTTGCCCCTGTTGACTTTGGATCTGATGTTGGAATCTAGCGAGATGGCCTGCCAAAAGGGTATCGTGTTCAAAGAAAGGTCAACAGGAATCGGAACATCCGGCTTTTGAAACATGTAAAAAAATGTAAGGTAAAGAAAGTAGAGAATGTAAAGAACATATCCTTTCTAGAGGTACATCAGCGATCGTGATGCCCTGCCGGTACAATATATATATGTTGATATATTATATATATACAGGATTCTATAGATATATTATAATTATATACACATACACACATGTTCATATTTGTTCATAAGTGCAGCCACACAGCAAAAATTCAAAGCTTGTTTGGTGATTCCGCACCAGCAAGATGGACAACACCACCACGACGCTCACTGCGACCCTTCTCCGGCCAAAGGCCATGAGATGTTTGGGTCATGGCACGTCACATCGCGTCACATCTTATCACATACTACAAAGCCATGTCTATACTACAAGATACTACAAGTATATGTGTCACCATGTCTATGGTGGAGTCTAAGTTTTTTTTTTGGTTGGTCACTCAAACATGTCTTTGAATGTCGCAATGCCGCAATGCCTGTCTAGATGAGCTAAAGCTTGTACACTGCCCATCGGTACATCCTTCTGTGCTCTACCTCTTTGTTTGTACCACAAGGTCTCTTCCCTCGCTCATAGTAGGGTCTTTTTGCTGTGCAAATCTCTGCTTACCTAAGCCATTTCCTGTCATGAGCCAAAATCTGCCAGGGTGTGTGACCATCTTGAAATAAAATGAAACACGTGAAACACTTTTGATCACTGCCGTCCCAAGTGAATCCTGGATGGCTGTCACATCTACCCTCGTCTCACCGCCACCGCCCTGGGGCCACCCCAGTGCAGCCAAGAAACTGTGAAACCACGTGGCCCAGGGGGGAGTAGTACTGGCAAATGTGGTTTCTGAAATTGATTGAAATTGACGTAACTTCACCTCCTGCCATAGTTCCAGCAAAATCCCATGATATTGATGCAATTCAGGATTTTTCACAGTTGTAGAATTCAGGAACATCCGATGGCAAAATCACACATCTGCAGATGAAAAAATCTGAAGTCAGACTGAGTGAGACTCACCAGGAAATCTCTGAAGCCGTTGTTGGTCATCCACATGTTTCGCCTCGTCCCACATCGTCCCACTGCTTCCACCACGAAAAAGAGAAATGTGACGGGAGAGCAACTTGGAGAACTTGACAAAATAAAAAGATTGTGTGTACCTTCATTAGCATTCATTTAATATACATATATTATAATTAATATATGTATATACATTTATGTGTATATATATATTATATTATATTATATTATATTATATTATATTATATTAATTTACTTATTTATTTATTTATTTAGACAAGGTGTTTGAAGATCATTTGTAGTCAAATCCTTTCAGCTCCAACATCTTGAAAAATGAGTTTCACTACATAGACCATCATAGACCATCCTGAGGATTGGGGTCTAGGCTGGATGTAGTCGTACATTCCGCTCATGCGGCCAACCAAGGACCTCAAGATCATGTTGTTTCCCACTGCATACTGATACTGCCAAAAGTGTTCACTTAGCTGCCAAGTTGCAAATTACAATCTTGTCAAACTAGCCCTACAATCTGTACATCTATGTAAATCCATGTAAATGCCGAATCCCAATGAAATGCCATTTGCGACACACGGTTTGGTCCCCGACCAAAGGTGAGGCTTCTCAATTTGATCCTCGGTGACCTTCTGAAGGTATTCCACCCAGGCCTACACGAGAGCCGTATTGAAACTGGCTCCCCCCAAAGGCCCCAAAGGTGGTTTCTAGCAGAATGACATGTTTGTCATCTCTGTGCCTATCCGTCCTACCCGGTAGCATCTCATCATGGTTTACTCATCCGAACACTTGGACAATCTTCGACACTGGGAACATTTCAGTGTGCTTTCTCTGTATCACCCTCAGCTCATCTCCATCTCCGGCCATTCCCTATTCACCACATGATCTTCCCACCTTCATGCCACCTTTGATCATGATGACACCATCTTCCTGGCGCTTTCAGCGTCGCATGGCGTCGCCGTGTCGCTGGGAATGGAACCGCTCCGCCCGCCTCAAACTGCTTGATCTGCTCCTCCGTCAACTTCAGCACTTGAGGGGCCTCGCATCGAAAACTCGTCTCACTCAATCCTTTGCCCCGGTGCGAAATCTCTGAAATAAGGGTTTTACTATGGGTAAACTATGGTAAACTACATTATCTCATAAGGTCATAACTGTCATAACAGTAAGAATAGATCTAGCTCACAAAAAATTATCCCCTGCTGCGAGGCGTGTTTCATCTTCCAAATAAAACCCATCAGCTATGAATGTCACAAGTTACCACAAGTTGCCCAATGCGTTGGGTCATGGGTGTCCATCCCCATCCCCTCCCCGTTGCTGATCCACTCTGAGATCATGGCCTGTCCGGCTGTCACACCTGCTGGCAAAGCCACTTCGGGCTCCTGTTGGGTACAGCATGGCACAGTGTTAATGGCCCTGGAGCCGGAATTCTCAGTTTCAAAACCTCAGGGTCCAACAAAAACGAATAGGCTGTTAGGCTGTTGGATGTTGCCAGCTTTTTGAGGTCGAGGACAGGATCTCTGGTGCCACGCTAAAGAATCAGCTGCCGCATCAAAAGGACTCGACCGCTTGAGAGATTGATAGAAATGGTGTGATTTCTTGATGCAGCACACGGCAGCACAGGCAAGTGGTGTGCCAGGAAAACCCTCGAGGCCTTTGGCCCAGTGAGGGGAACGCCACACGTTGCCTGAAACGATCTGAAACCTTGAAAACAAAGCGCAAACGAAGCCTAAACGAAGCGTGTGAACGATTTGGAGCACAGCCCTGAGGCTGATATTATTTCTTGCACCAAGCAACCTCAAATAAAATCAACATGACTAACATGACTTTCAAACCCACTAGTCACAGTGTAGTCTCAATGCTTTTCCCTTGCAGAATGCATTTTGTGGTATCACATGGTCTTACAGAAACATGGTAAGACCGTAAGAAAGGTTAAGATATGCGAACACGGGTATTTGTATGTATTTGTAAGGTCTGGTGCATAGCACCAGCACGGCACATGGCA